ATGAGTAATTTATGATTCCTAAAGACTATAACACATATTTGGTACGACCAGCATAGGTGACTATAGGGCCGATTTGTCTGCAAACAACAGGGGTTTAATCACATAATATCCAATACATCTCTTGTTCGTCAGCCACTATTCTATAACACTAAATAAAGTAAAATATATACTCAACAACAAAAGTTCCTGTGATACCAATATTTTAGTGTTTTTTCAAACAAGTTTGGTTTTCAATATTGTAGTACATGTATGGAATCAAGTCACAAAAACGCAACTGCTACAGAAAAGCATACATTCCATGCAAAAGTTGACTTTTATGCAAGCCCCATGCATTTCACTACCCAATAATGGGTATAAAAACATGTGCGTTGACGGGATTCCATATGCATTGTTTAGAATCGTACTGAGAACAACCACTCAGAAAAACAACAAAATTACGCAATTATTCAACACTACGAAATGCCACGTCTGTCCGAAAATGAGCGCCGGAGCCATTGGTATGCTTGAAGCAGGATCGACAAGACAATTTAACGTCCACAGAAACACCATTTGGTGTTTAAGGCAACGTTGGCAACAGACGAATGCAGTCAGTGACCATCCTCGGAGTGGCAGGCCACGCGTAACCAATAATCGACAAGACAACTGGATTCGAACAACACATCTACGAATCGATTCCAGCCAGCAACAGTGACTGCAAGAAGCATCCCTGGCCTTCGACGAATATCTTCACAAACCGTACGTTGTCGCCTCAGATGTGCAGGGATTGTCGCCAGAAGACCCGCCAGACGTCCCATTTTGACAGTGGTGCAGACAGCGTCTACGCTGGACGGCCATGCAGTGGGGACAAGCTCTATTCACTGACGAGTCTCGTCTTCACCTCAGCCACAGCAATGGGCGGATTCGAGTGTACCGACGTCGAGGTGAACGTTACGTCAATAATTGTGTCATGGAAGAAGATCGGTTCGGGGGCGAAAGTAAAGTAACAGTCAGATGATTTGTTCATGTCTTCTTTCGAATTTGGGGTTGGGTGGGGGGTATGGCGTCGGGGAATTTTGTCATCTTCTGAACGTGTCAGCAACGTCTAAACAATGATCCTGTCAGAAACGTCTAAACAATGATTCTGTCAGGAACGTCTAAACAATGATTCTGTCGGGTATGTCTGTACAATGATTCTGTCAGGAACTTCTAAACAATGACTGTCAGGAACGTCTACACAATGATTCTGTCAGGAACTTCTAAACTATGACTGTCAGGAACTTCTAAACTATGACTGTCAGGAACGTCTTAACAATGATTATGTCAGGAACTTCTAAAAATGACTGTCAGGAACGTCTTAACAATGATTCTGTCAGGAACTTCTAAACAATGACTGTCAGGAATGTCTTAACAATGATTCTGTCAGGAACTTCTAAACAATGACTGTCGGGAACGTCTGTATAATGATTCTGTCAGGAACTTCTAAACAATGACTGTCAGGAACGTCTTAACAATGATTCTGTCAGGAACTTCTAAACAATGACTGTCAGGAACGTCTTAACAATGATTCTGTCAGGAACTTCTAAACTATGACTGTCAGGAACGTCTTAACAATGATTCTGCCAGGAACTTCTAAACTATGACTGTCAGGAACGTCTTAACAATGATTCTGTCGGGAACTTCTAAACAATGACTGTCAGGAAGTCTTAACAATGATTCTGTCAGGAACTTCTAAACAATGACTGTCAGGAACGTCTTAACAATGATTCTGTCAGGAACTTCTAAACAATGACTGTCAGGAACGTCTTAACAATGACTGTCAGGAACGTCTTAACAATGATTCTGTCAGGAACTTCTAAACTATGACTGTCAGGAACGTCTTAACAATGATTCTGTCAGGAACTTCTAAACAATGACTGTCAGGAACGTCTTAACAATGATTCTGTCAGGAACTTCTAAACAATGACTGTCAGGAACGTCTTAACAATGATTCTGTCAGGAACTTCTAAACAATGACTGTCAGGAACGTCTTAACAATGATTCTGTCAGGAACTTCTCAACTATGACTGTCGGGTACGTCTGTACAATGATTCTGTCAGGAACTTCTAAACAATGACTGTCAGGAACGTCTTAACAATGATTCTGTCAGGAACTTCTAAACAATGACTGTCAGGAACGTCTTAACAATGATTCTGTCAGGAACTTCTAAACTATGACTGTCAGGAACGTCTTAACAATGATTCTGACAGGAACTTCTAAACTATGACTGTCAGGAACTTCTAAACAATGACTGTCAGGAACGTCTTAACAATCATTCTGTCAGGAACTTCTAAACTATGACTGTCAGGAACGTCTTAACAATGATTCTGTCAGGAACTTCTAAACAATGACTGTCAGGAACGTCTTAACAATGATCCTGTCAGGAACTTCTAAACTATAACTGTCAGGAACGTCTTAACAATGACTGTCAGGAACGTCTTAACAATGATTCTGTCAGGAACTTCTAAACAATGACTGTCAGGAACGTCTTAACAATGACTGTCAGGAACGTCTTAACAATGATTCTGTCAGGAACTTCTAAACAATGACTGTCAGGAACGTCTTAACAATGATCCTGTCAGGAACTTCTAAACTATAACTGTCAGGAACGTCTTAACAATGACTGTCAGGAACGTCTTAACAATGATTCTGTCAGGAACTTCTAAACAATGACTGTCAGGAACGTCTTAACAATGATTATGTCAGGAACTTCTAAACAATGACTGTCAGGAACGTCTTAACAATGATTCTGTCAGGAACTTCTAAACAATGACTGTCAGGAACGTCTGAACAATGATTCTGTCGGGAACTTCTAAACTATGACTGTCAGGAACGTCTTAACAATGATTCTGACAGGAACTTCTAAACTATGACTGTCAGGAACTTCTAAACAATGACTGTCAGGAACGTCTTAACAATGATTCTGTCAGGACTTCTAAACTATGACTGTCAGGAACGTCTTAACAATGATTCTGTCAGGAACTTCTAAACAATGACTGTCAGGAACGTCTGTACAATGATCCTGTCAGGAACTTCTAAACTATGACTGTCAGGAACGTCTTAACAATGATTCTGTCAGGAACTTCTAAACTATGACTGTCAGGAACTTCTAAACTATGACTGTCAGGAACGTCTTAACAATGATTCTGTCAGGAACTTCTAAACAATGATTCTGACAGGAACGTCTTAACAATGATTCTGTCAGGAACTTCTAAACTATGACTGTCGGGTACGTCTTAACAATGATTCTGTCAGGAACTTCTAAACAATGACTGTCAGGAACGTCTTAACAATGATTCTGTCAGGAACTTCTAAACAATGACTGTCAGGAACGTCTTAACAATCATTCTGTCAGGAACTTCTAAACTATGACTGTCAGGAACGTCTTAACAATGATTCTGTCAGGAACTTCTAAACAATGACTGTCAGGAACGTCTTAACAATGATTCTGTCAGGAACTTCTAAACAATGACTGTCAGGAACGTCTTAACAATGATTCTGTCTGGAACTTCTAAACAATGACTGTCAGGAACGTCTTAACAATGATTCTGTCAGGAACTTCTAAACAATGACTGTCAGGAACGTCTTAACAATGACTATGTCAGGAACGTCTTAACAATGATTCTGTCAGGAACGTCTTAACAATGACTATGCGAGGAACGTCTTAACAATGATTCTGTCAGAACTTCTAAACAATGACTGTCAGGAACGTCTTAACAATGACTATGTTAGGAACGTCTAAACAATGATTCTGTCAGGAACGTCTACACAATGATTCTGTTAGGAACATCTACACAATGATTCTGTTAGGAACATCTACACAATGAAAATGTTAAGAACGTCTAAACAATGATTCTGTCAGGAACATCTACACAGTGATTCTGTTAGGAACGTCTAAACAATGACTATGCACTAAGTCAACGATGCCGAGACGGTCGCCTTTACAAAGAGGATTTGGCCTTTGTAATATTGCAGGCGGGTATCTCTACAACCCTTATCAGAAACACGGAACAACACGTGACCTTCCCAGATCCGGTCGACCATGTATCAAGACTACAGCACAGGACAGATTCAAACGGCGAGTGAGTTGAGGTCAAATGGGCTTTAACGTCGTGTTTATGCTGGTTGGTTGTTTGGTTTGTTGTTTAACGCCGCACTCAGCAATATTCCACAAATAGGATCGATGACATGCATCAACCAAGTCAGCGAGCCTGACCACCCGACCCGTTAGTCGCCTTTTACGACAAGCATAGTCGCCTTTTACGGCAAGCATGGGTTGCTGAAGACCTATTCTAGCCCGGAATCTTTCGTGTTTATGATTATAGCGACGTGCGTGCTTGTACAAGTCCGGACTAGTGCCGGTTTTATGGTGCTAGTCCACTAAGATATCCTGCCGTAGTTTAACATTAATATCCCACTCAGACACCGTATACTGACTCAGAGACCAGTCCTTGTTTTAGCCCCGTAATGCCGGCAGGAAGGAAAACAACAAGTACGATCTTTGGATGTATTTTGGTTAGACGCAGCCGGGGATCGAACCCGAACCTTCCGCTCTACCACTAGACAACGGAGGCGGTCTATCGTACGAAATACACACCTTTAAGGTAATTTCCGTATTTGATTATGGCTGATGTTATTAAAGCACAATGTGCTCATTGTGAGATGCCAGATAATTTTACTTTTAATATTACGTACCTTATTTCAGAGAAAAGTATTTCCTTCAATTCTTCTTTTCACAGATTACCAGTTTTTTATATGTAATGTGTTAATTCCTAAACTTTTTCATTGTCTTTTCTCACACACAAAGAAAAAAGAGGTTGCGTGGTATGCACCTGTGTAATTCTATTTCCATTCATGAGAATTACCTCCCTTCCATTGAATCATTTATGGCAGTTCAATTAACACGTTCCAGTGCTCTGTTGTAGAGTCAACTCCTTGGTCCTTACTAAGGGATAACAGTGTTAAATTGCTGAAAATGCCGATACACCTGGGCCCCGATCCACAAAGCCTTCGTAGCGCTACGAACATCGTAAAACCCGTCGTAACTTTATGACAAAAATCTTAAGCGATCCACAAAGCTATCTTAGTGAAAATATCTCGTAAAGTTAAGAGAAAAATTATGAGTGGTCAGTACCTATCGTAAATCAAGCATTTCTGTCGTAACTTTAGTATAAAGATGGCGGCATATTTTTTGCTTGGCATAGTAGAAGAAAAAGCAACACGATCACGACCAAGGGTGTTTCGAGACCGAACTCGAATACTTGACACGCTCGATGATGACAGCATAATCCGGCGCTACCGGCTACCACGTCATGCCATATTTAAACTTATAGACTTACTGAAACCATATCTTGCTTCCGAAACAGAGCGTTCACATGCATTGTCCCCGGAAACACAGGTTTTGATTGCCCTCAGGTTTTATAGTAAGGGGTCTTTTTTCACTGAACTAGCAGACTTGCATGGGGTATCCCAGTCCACTGTGTCACGGGTGTTTACCCGTACAAATGAAGCCATTGTCAAACAACTAAAACTGATTTCGTTCCCAAAGGCAACATCCGACCAACGTGTCACGAAGGAAGCATTTTATAACATTAGCAGATTTCCAAAAGTGCTTGGTTGTATAGATGGCACCCTCATACCTATCATGCGACCCACCGGGGATGAAGAAGCGGTTTACGTTTGCAGGAAGGGCTTCCATGCCGTAAACGTACAAGCTGTCTGTGACGCAGAACTAAGGTACATCACACTTCACAGACGTTAACAACAACACCCAGCAACATCCTTATTTAACAATTGATAGGGTCAGTAAGAATCAATCATTTGTATACAGACGTAATAACAGACGTAATTATTCAGGGAAACATCGAAGGATACACACCTTGTTTACTCTCTTTAATGACCTTGACAATGACTAGTGGTGCCACCTACTCATTTTGTTGACCAATCATTACGTAAGGCCCAACATGGGTTTTGTCATGAGGTCCAATACAGGTTTCTATTACCGTGCGGAATTACCATTGTGATAAAGGACGATTGTTTTAGTACTTAAAGCAATGCTCACTGCTGAAAAAATAAAGAATAAAGAAAACTGTTAACAGCCAGTTGGACTATCACACACACACAGGGACTTGAGAAAATAACTTTAATATCGATTTATGAATGCATGGCTCATGGAAGAATTATAAATATGTATATATAATCAAAAGGTTTACAAGTGTGGTTTCCAAGTGGCCTGGTTCAACTCATGATTCGTTCATGCTACAAAACAGCAAGATTGGGCAGTATATGGAGACTGCTGGGAATGACGGATGGCTGCTAGGCGATTCAGGGTAACAGCAAATCATTTGTGTAAACATAAGTTGTATTGTAACCACTACAGAGATATGAAAACACATAAACAAGAAGTTGATATTTTGTAACTTGGCACACAGAAGACGATACTGTAATCAAAATGTGATTTTCAGATTCCAATGTTTATTTCATATTAGTCACTTTAAAATATATTGATCATAAATTGAAAGCAGCGCCCATAAAATCTAGCTCTGCGTGAAAGTGATTTCCCCTTGTACTTAAACCCAAATTTCACAATGTAGACTGACACCAATAAAATTGTCACGAAATGAAATAACATTTGAAGTGAAATATATAAGCTGGTATTTTAAGTTGTATTTCAATATTTAATGGTATGGTCAGTATGTTTAACAGAATTACAATTTTTACATCAGATATGCATGTCGCCCATGGCTGCTTACGCCAATAGTTAACCCTACAACACCGTCTGAGGAACGTTACAACACTGCACACTGCAGAACACGCAACACTGTGGAGAGGGCCTTTGGACTCCTTAAATCCAGGTTCAGGCATGTATATGTTCATCCCTTATTCTACTCAAGCATATATATCATTTTTCAATATTTGAGACATTAGTATGGCATATGTTTGTGCTAATGACAGATTAAGATGTTATGCTTTAAGATAATACTCATACTTTAAAGTAAATCAGAGATATGGTCTTTTAAGAATATTTCAAGTTTTACACATCATAATGCGACTAGTCTATCTTATCTGCATTCTGAACAAAGGGTAATGTTTGTGTTTATATACATTATTAGGTGCCTACATAAATCAGGTGGCTGCCTGCCATTCACCCCCCCAAAATGCCATCAAGTTGTGTATGCAACCTGTCAGCTGCATAACTTCTGCATCAGCCTAAGATTGCCAGCTCCTCCTACACAAGAAGACCTGCTCCAAGAAGATGGGATAGCTTACCTGGGACCTCTCAATGACGGCCTCAAAGTCCGACAAGCTGTCGTCAATAACTGTTTCTCTAAATGATTGTATGATTAAGATAAACGACTTTTTGTAACCGATGATAAATGACAACAGAAGCTACATTATCAGTATGAATTTTTATATTTGGGAAAATTAATCAAAGTTTAAAGGAACTGAATAACTGGTGATACATTCAGTTGACCAGAGTGGCCAGCTTCCAGAGAAATGATGTAGGCCAATTTCTGTTCTTCCACATGTAATCTCTTTTTTTCGACCTCAAGAAGCTCTTTCAGCACATTCAGTTTCTCCCTCTCTATGTTCAGAATGTTATCTTTGTCTGAAAGAAATTTTCATTTTACATAACACAAGTCTCACAGCAACAGTTATGTCTCGTCCATCTTCATACAAACTTTATCAAAACAAACATCAGGGTTTCTTGAGTAAATTACATTTTTTCTCTTTCTATCATTTCAAATTTGATGTATTGCTGTACATACCACTGAGAGTCTTTGTGGCCTTAACATGTGAAACTGCATCAACTGTATTAAAGAAACAAATCATTTAACTGAGACATGTGAATGTTGTATTTAAAACATATACACAGGAATATTAAGTAAACACCTCTCTCCCTATAATACATAATACATAAACACATACAGAGATTGGAAATACAATTAAAATCCATGAACTGTATTTCTAAGAACTGTGATGTTGTTTACATGATTTCATCTTATCTTGTGGTAGGTATACCTGCAATAAACTATCACAGTTGCAAATCTCTCCCCACCCAGAACCTTGAAAGTTTTATTAAATTTATTGTGCAGTATGTCCATTATGTATATGGTAATACCTTGAGGAACATCATCTGCCGACATCACACTCTCTGAGTACATGATGTATGTTGGTGGCACAAAGGCCCCATCACAAGGCAAGTCCTGCAGGGCTTGAAGAGTCTCTGGAAAAACTGGAGTTGCTGGGGTAGTGTCTGTAAGTAATATGATACATGTAGTTCCAATTTACCAATTTCTCTGCAATGAAAAGAGGCAAAATCTACAAAAAGTATGGTTATTCATGGAACTATTAATCCAATTTCAAAATCAACTTTAAGTTTATACTTCATCTTTTATCTTACATGATCACAATTACCTTTACTGTATGAGATAATCTATAATATATCTGACATATGGTCATTAACATAAACTATGAGACCGGTTAAGTAAACAACTGCACATACAGCCATTCACACAACCAATTATGCAACTTACTTTCATATTCTTCACTTTCAAGGCCACCCTCACAGCCTTGAATCGAGCAGGGAGGTATGAATGATACAACCTGAAATCAATATTTCTTTCAATGCATGTTACAATGTTAATGTTCTCTGTAATAAGGAATGAAGTACTTTACCTAATAACTTATTGGTCAAAAGATTACCTGTTTGTTATAATCACAATCTATCTGCTCCTTTAAGTGCTTTTCATATAAATTGTAAAATTACAATTCAACAGCAACTATATTCATTTGTATTTGTTGAGTACTCATTATGCCCACATATAAGAAAAAAAAAACACCCAATGATATAGCATTTATGAAATTCAAGATTGAAAAAGAAACTGTAGGCTCACCCGCTGTTCCATTTCAGTGAGGCTGGATGGTGGAGGCCCCCCACCAGTTCTCGTTGCCTCCCTCCTTCTTTCAGCTTCTTTTTTCCTTGTTTGACTCCTGACGGAACAAAATGTATAAATGAGCAAACACACCTCGTATTATCATTATCTATAAAAAAGTACCAGTATAAACAATTTTAATTTATATTTAATAACAGCTAAATATCAATGTTTCACAGAACATGAACATGTATGTCAGGATAAGCATATGTTTTATACCATGCAATGAGTAATTGTTTACATAAAATAATGTTATGTTCTAAATTGTATACACATACTTGTAGTCCATCCACTTCTTTTTAACATCTTTGGTCAGTCTCTTGACACCACTGTTTGCACTGATGCTGAAACAAGATCAGTGAACTTTAATAAATTGTCAAGAATAACAGTAATAGAGTGAAGGGTTAGAACTCCAAAATCCCAGCAACATAATGTATCGAGAATGTCTCGTCTAAAATACGGAGAGAGTGGTGTCCCTTTCTAAGTGTCAAAATGGCTGCCTGTGACACTGCAGCGCTAGTTCCAGCTTATGTATATCCTTTGAATCAAGTTATTACCAAAGACGGGTTGATGAAGTAACACCATGTTGACAGGTTGGTGAGATAGCCTACAGATATTTCCGTCAGAATACTTACCTCGCCCTGCAATATTCAACATAAAACATCGATGTATTACGTGATCATTTTTTACATATTTGTACTCCAGTTTATACCAGACATATGACGCCCCCCCCCCCCCCTCCACACACACACACACACACACACACACACACAATTTCATTGAATCACTCACCTCTGTGAAATGTCCTCCCATGCTTTCTTCTTCATTCTGTTCGTCAAATTGTTGGTAAATGACGAAAACAACACGTTTTTCTTTGACTGTACACCCTCTATTAGAAGGGCTAACTCACTGTTAGTCCAGTTCTTGCTCCTTTGGCGTTTCAATGTCAATGGTTGACTAGCATCCATGATCGCTTGATATAGATACGACTGGCGTCGTCTGCTAATACAGTGAAGGGATTCCCCTGTAAATTAATGACGTCATTGGGGAATCCCCCTATATTCTTACCTCCATCACAGGAGAGCGACAATCTTAATTTACGACAATGATCGTAAGACGATGAATTTACGAACGGATTAAGAACGCTTTGTGGATCGGTCGTAAATATTAGTAAAATTATCTTAATTTTAATCGTAAACTCTTACGATATGTGTAAGTTACGAAGGCTTTGTGGATCGGGGCCCTGAATATATGCTCATTATCTCACTGAGGGAAATATAAATATTAAATAATCAAGGACGTTGTACCCAAACTCATGTTTCCTCACAGAAACAAATTAATCTGATTGAATAATGTTTTGTTTGTTTGTTGTTTAACGCCGCACTCAGCAATATTCCAGCTATAATTGACAATTGACAAACCAACGTCTGATATCGATGGGAAAATGGATTGTATGAGCACCAGAAGTAAGCCATTGTACTCAGAAGCCGTGAAAAGTGCGAGTGGATACGACATGCATCAACCAAATCTGCGAGTCTGACCACCCGATCCCGTTAGTCGCCTCTTACAAGCACAGTCAGCTTTAACGGCAAGCATGGGTTTGTGAAGACCTATTCTACCCCGGATCTTCACCGGTCGACTGAGAAGTCATACTAATAATCAACTATATACATAGCGCAATCCTACTTTTTGTTATGCTTCCAATATCAACTTGGAACATTTTTATGCATTGTACATATCAGTTATGTACCAGACTACACAGCACATATCTGTTGTTTGGGAATGAACATTGGTTAAGTGAACAAAATGCCTCCCTTATGAACACGATACATGATGATTTTGATGTTTACAACAAATGCAGCTGTACCAGTACTTCTCAGCCAGAGTCAGGTATTCGTTATTAATACAGTAAAGTACGGTTATAACGAACTCAAAGGGACTACTAATTTTAGTTCGTTATAACCGTAGTTCGTTATAAGCATATATACAGCATAACTACAGCAAATAGTCGGGACCAAAATAGTAAGTTCGTTATATCCGTCAGTTCGTTATAAGGTGTTCGTTATGACCGTAGTTTACTGTACATCACAAAGCCAAAATGTTATCGGAGTAAGTCAACCAATAGGTAGTAACAGTATATGCGATAGGGACAAGACAATCTTCTAACAGCTGGAGTTGAGTTGTATGGTATATACTCTCAACATGGGTCTTACTATTCTAACTGCAGACTTTAATGTAGATATACGACAATCCAAAGACGGAGATCTCTTTCTCTTCAAATGGTACTAAATGAACGAACACTATATTCAGTTGTACCATTAGACGATATTACTAAGTATACGTTCTCAAACAAATGTAAAGATGTGAGAACAATGGTAGACTATATGTTTGTGAGTGTTGATTATCTGAATAATGTTATTGGTTATACCATTGATACTGATAAACTATATACCACCTTAGACCATTGCTTATCCTTCTGTGTATAACAAATGACTGACCTAAATATCAAATGGTGGATATAAGCTCAATTGGAAGAAAGCGTGTGATACTGATCTTATGCTGTATCGTTATGAAACTGAAAATTACTTTTGTAAACGAATACGCGATTTGTCCCAATTCGCATGCCCTGGTTGGCTGGTTAGTTTGTTGTTTAACACCGCACTCAGCAATATTCCAGCTATATGACGGGGGTCTGTAAATAATCAAGTCTGGACCAGGCAATCCAGTAATTAATATCATGAGCATCGATCCAATCGGGATCAATGACATGCATCAATCAAGTTAGCGAGCCTGACCATCCGTTAGTTGCCTCTAATGACAAGCATAGTCGCCTTTTATGGCAACATGGGTTGCTGAAGACCTATACAACCCCGGATCCTCACTAAACAAATAAGAGCAAGCATCGAGATAAAAGTACTTTTCCATTTATTAATAACATGCGTCACTGTTGTCTTGGTATATATATATACATTGCACAAAACCAACATGTTTTAACATGATTTTCGTACATGAGGAATGGCAATTGTGAATAAACATAATTTTGCCAGATACATCCCATCCAGCATACATCATCACCTTGTTTTTTATACCACCATACTTTGGTCTGTAAAAGGTCATAATTCATAGGATACAGCCTCTTCATTCAACAATGACAATGTCCATATATCGAAACAATGAGGAGTATGTAAAAGTGCAGTTGTGCTTCAGCAGCAACCGAACCGTCTCCGTACTCATTACAGAATGAGAGATGCCCTGAATCAACATGATGTTGATGGTATGAATACACATAAATGATTGCTTGTCATGGTCTTTCATTCTCCACATGCACACACCTAACAACAGTTTACCTGATATATATAGAGGAACATTCATTTCCACCATTTCAACAAGTCTTCTCTTGTTACACGACAAGAATAAATGTGAAATGATTTAGCACATGATCAAAAAGATCCACAAATATTGGGCCTTTTCTTGTAAGACAATTGTTCCATGGATTTTTGCCATGTAGTAATTACAGATTGACATCTTATGAGCTTTTTAAAAACAGTTAATTTTTTCTCAAAATTTTTCTTAGTGTTTAAATTAAGATTGCAAACAGGCATCTTGTCCCTGTGTGGAACTAGAAAGTAGTAGTCAAATCCATCCTTGATCCCCAGAACTTGAGTCATGCAGCTCTTCATGAAAGTCCAATCTGCACTGGTCAATTACGTTGGATCATGTTACAAATTGTTTTTTTCCAAACAGAAGGTCCATTGTTCTTCAGGACTGTTTCATATGTGTATATTTTTGTATCTACAAAAGGGAAGCTCCTACGTGCCCATGGTCATCTCCAGCAGGTGGCTACGAGTCAGCTCTCGGAGCTCCTGAAGGGCGTAGTCCTCTGGCATGGGTAGACCACTGATGTGAGATGCAACAAGTCTGCAACAGAGTAAAGTATGCATCAGATGGGGAGTGAGATAATGGCTGTGGTTGTACACAGCCCATAGTAGTTAGTGAGTGAGTTGGGTTTAATGCGGCTTTTAACAGCATTCCGGTTATATCATAGGGACCTATTCTGCCACACACAAGGTTTCAGAGTCATGAATGATAATCCAGTTTTGATCCTTCAGTGAAAGTACAGAACAGTGAGTGAGTGTGTTTTGTTTCAATCCAGTGATTGACATCATGAGCATCGATTTACACAATTGGATACTATGACATGCATCTACAGCAAGCCTCATCATTCATTCTCGTAAGTCGCCTCTTAAGACTAGCATGGGTTGCTAAGGACCTATTCTCACCTAGATCTTTACGGAGTGAGTGAGGGAGAGAGAGGAGAGGGAGAGACAGGTGGATGGTGAGTGTATATATAGCTCACCTTGTCGGAGGGCGCCCTGTTGCTGATCCTGCACTCTGGAATGTCAGTAGAGTTCCAAGAAGGTTGGCTGATTTTTTAGCCATCTCAGATTGGCAGAGTCTGCACATACACAAAACGAGAAATTGTATTTCCACAACAAATATCTTTACAGATAGAATGCACCTATTGATCAGGACATACTGCCTTTATCAACACTGAGGTACACTTAAATATGACTGCATGTGGTAGTTGGGTCGGGGTGTGTGTGTTTGACCAGTGGATGAGCTTCTGTAATCAAGGATGTAGCTTAACGCTGCACTCAGCAATATTACAGCTAAATGACTGCGGTCTGTAAATAATCGAGTCTGGACCAGAAAATCCTGTAATTGCCATCATGAGCATCGATCCACAGAATTGGGATATGATGACATGTATGAACCAAGTAACAGTTGGTTGGTTGGTTGGTTTATTGTTTAACGCCACACTCAGCAATATTCCAGCTATACAACGGCGGTCTGTAAATAATCGAGTCTGGACCAGACAATCCAGTGATTGATATCATGAGCATTGATCCACGCAATTGGGATCGATGACATGCATCAACCAAGTCAGCGAGCCTGACTACCTGACCCTGGTAGTCGCCTCTTACGACAAGCATAGTCGCCTTTCACAACAAAGTCACAGAGCCTGGGCACCTAATCCATGCACTTGCCACTTACGACAAGCAGAGGTTGTTGGAGACTTTTAATTTTTACCCAGAATCCCAATGGGTTCTGTAAACAGGTAAAGAAACTGGTAGTTCATAATGTATCTTGGCAACAGAATAGACTGAGCTAGGTTTCATGCACACTCACCTCTCCTTGGAACTCCTGCACTCCAGGCTGCCCACCCTGTTACAGAGGGATGTGACGGCCGGTTGAAGTCTCTCCAGATCATAAGCACTGGGTGTTCCCTGGAAATACAACCATGTCTTAATCACAGGTCCTCCTTCAAGAGAGGATCCAGCAGTTTTAAAAAAGTCCTCTCTGCCTACAACATACTACATTTGGTTCTCAAGGGGAAAAGTGGGGTCTGGACCCTTCTGGATCTGCCTATGTCCTTGATGAATACCTAGAAAATACTTCTTCATTTTTTGACCAACAAAACAAAAAGACTCAAAGTTATCTGAATGCTTTTGCCTGGCTTCTCTTTAATTAGATAATATTATTGTTGATGGTCTCATCTCATTATGTTTATGTTTCTACGAGTCAGCAGTCATGTTATATTTGGGTGACTAGTGATACCTAACTTTTTAAAATTTCATACTTCAGTTACTGATGTCACAAGTAGAGGATCCTGGATCTTGGATCTTGGACCTGAATGTTGTTTGGATTTGTTGGATATAACATTGTATATATTAATCCGTGGAATTGGGAAAAAAAATAAAATGTCATGCTCTGTATTTGATGAGTTATTTCAAAAGGCTACCATGGTAACTGTCAACATTTCTTTGCTATGGTGTAGCTATGTTTTTCGCTTTGTTGTATTTTCTTGTTTCCGTGACTAAAATGTCTGCATCTACAGGACCAAAGTTGGCACTTGACTCCATCTTCAGTAAATCTTGAAGTTACTATTTGGACTTCTCAGCTAACCTTACTAGAATGTTACACAACTTAGGTTTAAGACAAGTGGCTAAAGTTGAAGACTGCTCAGCTCAATGATTGTGTCATGAAGTAACAATTTTAACATGACAACAATTAGTATGATCCCCCTGCAAATGTTGCAAGCAGAAGATAATGTCACTTACATAGCATAATGAAAGTGTAATCCCACTGAGATACCATGTCAAATATGGTAAATCTTGAAATTAACAAGAGCATGAATAAAATGCGAAAAATGCGAGTGGTCTTTGCTCGCATTAATTAACTTCGCATTTATGTCTCCAAAATGACTATCAACAATAAGATGGCCTCACTGCACACTTTGGATAGCGGAAATACCAACTTGAATATAAACACAAACACAGTTTATTGAGCAGCAGTTGTAACAAGTATATAACAATGTCAATCAAAGAATAGGAATTACACAATGGGCTTCCGATGAGTTATCACTGAGAGGGTCAAGCTTGTTGACACCTGTTCGGTGAACTGTTCAATTATTTATTGCCTTTGGACTTCCTTGATGCCATTTAACAGAGAAAACACTGTTTATTGTTTTTACGGAAGTTCTCGACTGTGCTAATAAGCAGTGCTATTTGATGGGCAGGGGATCAAACGACCCACCTCTCAGAGTAGACACTATCCACTACACCACAGGAGGTCATATGTTTTATTAAGATTTCCAACACAAGGCAATGGAGTGAGTGAGTGAGTATGGTTTTACGCCGCTTTTAGCAATATTCCAGCAATATCACGGCGGGGGACACCAGAAATGGGCTTCACACATTGTACCCATGTCGGGAATCGAACCCGGGTCTTCGGCGTGACGAGCGAACGCTTTAACCACTAGGCTACCCGACCGCCCCACAAGGCAATGGAAGAAACATCTATCAATCAGTAAAGACTTTGCAGCTTACTAAGACTGACAACAAGGGCGTTTTTACCTGCTTGAGATTCTCTAATCGTTGACACAAGTTGATGTAGTCAAGAAACACCTTTCCCCCTGTGGACCAGTCTAACACCGAAGAACTAATCTCGGGGGGAGACAACTCTTCCAAGTAGCGACGCAAGTAGGCAAAGTTCTCTGTAAAATCAAGTTAATATTTATCAGACATTAATTTTAGCCTGTATTTGGAAAGGTGTCAATACAAACGTGAGTGATCCCCATAAATACTTAGATCCCATTAGAAGCATCCAACAAGACCTATATATATAGTTAGGCATGAAAACATTTATTAATTCATCACAACAAAACACTGTTGTTGGAAAACAAAACAAAATCATAATCAGGTATTTTGTAAATAGGTTAAACAAACAGTATTAAACACCAGTTTAGAAACAGCAGATGCAATATTTAGCCTACAATTTTCACAAGCCTGCACAGTTTGCATGTTTGTGTGAATGAGTGAGTGAGTTTGCTTTTACGCCGCTTTTAGCAATATTCCAGCAATATCACGGCGGGGGACACCAGAAATAGGCTTCACACATTGTACCCATGTCGGGAATCGAACCTGGGTCTTTGGCGTGACGAGCGAACGCTTTAACCACTAGGCTACCCGACCGCCCCGCATGTTTGCGTGAATGAGGAGTGAGGGTCACAGAGTGTTCCCATACTTGAGCCTAAGTTCTAAACAGGAAATATGTTACAGACTACCCCAAGGGCTGTTCCTGTGCATTAATTCCTGTGTAAAGTGTGTTTGTTGTTTAATGCCACACTTAAGCAATATTCAAGCTATAAGATGGCGGTCTGTAAATAATAAAGTCTGGACCATGCAATCCAGTGATTGATATTGTGAGCAACAATCCATGCAGTTCGGGTCCAACAACACACCTGATCTACTAAATCGCCCCTTTGACCTCCAGTATAGGTCTCTGGGAACCAATTCTTCCTCGTGATCCTTATGTCTACAAAGACTTACCATTAATGATAGCATCAGCAGCTATGTGTGCCAAGATAACCTTGTGTCCCTCATTCCACTGAGCTGCCTTCAGCAGGTGCCATGCTTCGTCATGGTATTTGTTCTCAGATCTTGCTTTTATAGCCTGATAACAAGGAAGTCAGTCTTAAGTTCCTTAACATCACAGTCAGCAATAGCCAATCTGTTAAAAAATGATTCTGCGACAGACAACTAGTGGGTGACAGCATGAGCAACTAACTTCAGCAGGCTAGATTGTTTGCTGTTTAACGCCGCACTCAGCAATATTCCAGCCATATGCAGGGATCAGAATGGATATTTTCCTTTTCAGCTGAAATTTCTTTTCAATGGAGCGTGGTCCATAACTTGGGGAGGTTGATAGGTGGTTCATGACAATAGGTTTGTGTTCACTAAAATTTGCGGAACCGCGGAAGATTCTCATCCCTGTGTATGATGGTGGTCCAGACAATCCAGTGGTTGACAGCATGAGCATCGATCCACACAAATAGGATACGATGACATGCATCAACAGAGTCAGCGAGCTTGACCACCTGATACCTTTAGTCGCCTCTTACAACAAGCATAGTCGCCTTTTACGACAAGCAAGGGTTGCTGAAGACCTATTCTAACCTGGACCTTATGGGGCTCAGTAGGCTTCAAATAATCACATTTTCATTAGTCAGCAAGCATGGGATAATGGTGTATATCTCTACCCTGCCACACTTTACAGTAAGGTCTGGGCAGAAGGCAAAATAATATGGTCCAGGGAGTTCCTTCACAAGTGTATATCTCTACCCTGCAACAAATTACAGTAAGGGCTGGGCAGAAGGGAAATAATATGGTCAAGGGAGTTCATTCACAAGTGAGACCAACTTGGTAAGTACACTTAGAGGCCAGAGTCTTTCAACACTGTCTACGTTTGTATTGAGAAATGTCCAAGCAAGTAATCAACCCATTCTCATCCCCTTCTAAGCAATAGCCAGTAAACAACCTATTCTCAGTAAACAACCCATTCTTATCCCCTTCTAAGCAATAGCCAGTAAGCAAACCATTCTCATCCCCTTCCTAGCAATAGCCAGTAAACAACCCATTCTCATCCCCTTCTAAGCAATAGCCAGTAAACAACCCATTCTCATCCCCTTCTAAGCAATAGCCAGTAAACAACCTATTCTCAGTAAACAACCCATTCTCATCCCCTTCTCAGCAATAGCCAGTAAACAACCCATTCTCATCCCCTTCTAAGCAATAGCCAGTAAACAACCTATTCTCAGTAAACAACCCATTCTCATCCCCTTCTCAGCAATAGCCAGTAAACAACCCATTCTCATCCCCTTCTCAGCCATAGCAAGTAAACAACGCATTCTCATCCCCTTCTCAGCAATAGCCAGTAAACAACCCATTCTCATCCCCTTCTCAGCAATAGCAAGTAAACAACCCATTCTCATCCCCTTCTAAGCAATAGCCAGTAAACAACCTATTCTCAGTAAACAACCCATTCTTATCCCCTTCTAAGCAATAGCCAGTAAGCAAACCATTCTCATCCCCTTCCTAGCAATAGCCAGTAAACAACCCATTCTCATCCCCTTCTAAGCAATAGCCAGTAAACCACCCATTCTCACCCCCTCCTAAGCAATAGCCAGTAAACAACCTATTCTCAGTAAACAACCCATTCTCATCCCCTTCTCAGCAATAGCCAGTAAACAACCCATTCTCATCCCCTTCTAAGCAATAGCCAGTAAACAACCTATTCTCAGTAAACAACCCATTCTTATCCCCTTCTAAGCAATAGCCAGTAAGCAAACCATTCTCATCCCCTTCCTAGCAATAGCCAGTAAACAACCCATTCTCATCCCCTTCTAAGCAATAGCCAGTAAACAACCCATTCTCATCCCCTTCTAAGCAATAGCCAGTAAACAACCTATTCTCAGTAAACAACCCATTCTCATCCCCTTCTCAGCAATAGCCAGTAAACAACCCATTCTCATCCCCTTCTAAGCAATAGCCAGTAAACAACCTATTCTCAGTAAACAACCCATTCTCATCCCCTTCTCAGCAATAGCCAGTAAGCAACCCATTCTCATCCCCTTCTAAGCAATAGCCAGTAAACAACCCATTCTCATCCCCTTCTAAGCAATAGCCAGTAAGCAACCCATTCTAATCCCCTTCCTAGCAATAGCCAGTAAGCAACCTATTCTCTCCCCACATTAGCCATAGCAAGTAAGCAACCAATTCTCTTCTCCATTCATAGTTTGTATGTGTTCACAATGCAATATATTGCGTCCAGTGAGCTCTGGTTCCTTAATGCTGGTGTGTTGGTTCTTTAGAATTATTTTTATCAATTCTTCTACCCAAGTCTATTTTGGGGGACCATATGTTCGTCCCGTCCTCCACCAATCTCCATACAATGGTTCAGTTCCACTGACAAGTTTCCCACCTTAGCATGGTGTATCCATGCGTGAGGAACCCGAAGCCTCTCTCTCACAAACTCCTCCTTGTGTAAGTACTTGGGGCTCTTCGACAGCGTCACATGGCGCTCTAATACTGATCTTACTGCAGTCTCTCGTCTGGAACATCACAGAGTATTGCATGAATATGGAGCAACATAAAAGCTTTCTGGGTAAACTGATCATTCTGCTTGTCTCCCATTTACAAAATGCCTTGTTTAAAGAGAGCTCATTACAAAAGATTTATCAAGGGGTGAAGACAAACAATCCTTACTCCCACATGGGGTCATGTGTTGTTATCTGTATGGGTAAGCCTCTCATAGGATGTTCACCATCAAACCTACTACCACATGGGGTCATGTGTTGTTATCTGTATGGGTAAGCCTCTCATAGGATGTTCACCATCAAACCTACTACCACATGGGGTCATGTGTTGTTATCTGTATGGGTAAGCCTCTCATAGGATGTTCACCATCAAACCTACTACCACATGGGGTCATGTGTTGTTATCTGTATGGGTAAGCCTCTCATAGGATGTTCACCATCAAACCTACTACCACATGGGGTCATGTGTTGTTATCTGTATGGGTAAGCCTCTCATAGGATGTTCACCATCAAACCTACTACCACATGGGGTCATGTGTTGTTATCTGTATGGGTAAGCCTCTCGTAGGATGTTCACCATCAAACCTACTACCACATGGGGCCATGTGTTGGTATGTTCACCATCAAACCTACTCCCACCAAACAGTAATGGAGGACATATTTAAGTGTGAGAGTGGGTGAGTTTGGTGAGGACATTTAAGTGTGAGAGTGGATGAGTTTGGTGAGGACATATTTAAGTGTGAGAGTGGGTGAGTTTGGTGAGGACATATTTAAGTGTGAGAGTGGGTGAGTTTGGTGAGGACATATTTAAGTGTGAGAGTGGATGAGTTTGGTGAGGACATATTTAAGTGTGAGAGTGGGTGAGTTTGGTGAGGACATTTAAGTGTGAGAGTGGATGAGTTTGGTGAGGACATATTTAAGTGTGAGAGTGGATGAGTTTGGTGAGGACATATTTAAGTTTGAGAGTGGGTGAGGACATATTTAAGTGTGAGAGTGGGTGAGTTTGGTGAGGACATATTTAAGTGTGAGAGTGGGTGAGTTTGGTTTAAAGCCACTCCGAACAGTATCCCGTTATATCATGGCGTGTCAGCCTAATGTGGGAGGAAAACCTGAACTGATTAAGGTCTCTCTCTGACGTTTACCACTTTGGTGAAACCCACGAGGTGGGCATGGTGCTGACAAACCTAGAACATAATCAGGTCGAACAAGGAAACCAATGATCATAGGTTTCTGTAGCACCCAATGGACGCAACTCTGCATAGCGAAATTGCGGCTCCTTAGAATGAGCCACCCATGCCCCCTTTTTCAATAGAGGTGTTTGCAGTACCGTTTCATGGTACTGCCGAGGGAGTATTTTAAATATGAAACAAGGCAAAGTGCCATAGATGGACCACCTACCCGAGTGCATCTTCACTATGAAACAAGGCAAAGTGTAATAGATGGACCACCTACCTGAGTGCATCTTCAATATGTAGCAGGGCAAATACTGCCCAGTGCCAGAGATGGAGAGCTTCGAGCTGTGCCGCAAAGCTGGTGTGAAGACAGGCAGCATGGTAGGGGGAGACGTGATGGTAGGACATGGACTGTAACACCTGGTACAGGTGCCAGCTGAAACATACATGGGATGAAACACTCGTACATGTCAGGCTGTCAACGGATATAACAACAACTTTGTTTTAGAATGAGATAGGAGCAAGTCTTGTTTGTTTGTTTGAATGTTGTTCAGTTCCGCACTCAGCAATATTCCAGCTAAATGGCAGTGGTCTGTAACTAATCGAGTCTAGACCAGACAATCCAGTGATTGACATCATGAGCATTGATCCACTCAATTGGGATACAAAGACATGCATCAACCAAGTCAGTGAGCATAAGCACCCGATCCAATTCGTCATAGGAGCAAGTATTCACATATATGTACGAAATTGACATGATTGGCAAGCGTAACACAATGAGAACTTATCACTGATTGAGAGAGTGAGTGAATGTTGTTTTATACCACAGTATGCAATGCTGAAACTATAGCTGCATGTAAAAATATCAGGCAAACAAGCTATTGTTTGATAGCATGTTGGTGATGGACACACCAAAAGCTTACTAAAAAAATTGTTACCACCCTATCTTAATATTAGATGGGTCTTGCGACAAGAATGGGATGTGATGACCAGAGATGACCTTCTGACCAAGAATCTCCATTGGGCCACCACAAACCGAGTGAGTGAGTGAGTGAGTGAGTGAGTGAGTGAGTGAGTTAGTTAGTTTGATTTTACGCCGCTTTTAGCAATATTCCAGCAATATCACGGCAGGGGACACCAGAAATGGGTTCACACATTGTACCCATGTCGGGAATTGAACCCAGGTCTTCGGTGTCACGAGCAAACACTTTAACCACTGGGCTACCCGACCGCCCCACAAACCAATGTAGGCACACTGCTAATTGGAGCACATTTTTAGAAAACCTTCCTGTTTCAACTAACTATTCTGACACGGTGCAGTTGCCACTACCTGAGACGGTAATCCAGCTGGTTGGCAGTGGATGTGGTGGGGTTGAGGATCCTCTCCAGCCTATGGCCCTTCTGACAGTACAACTTGAGCAAGTGGTAGCAGGTGTCCCGCACCACATGGTCATCTCGCTCATCCATCGCCTCCTCCTCTTCCTCGTAACTGTCATCGTCTTCCAGATACGGAGGCAGTGGGGAGTTGGAGTATTTGCCGAATGAGGTGCGGCTTTTGAAGGCATCTTCATACTGGGACAAGGCTTCAGATATGCTTGCGTTGGGCTTGCAGTGATACCTGGAAGTGAAGTGTCATCTTATTGGTGGTGTTTTAGAATCACAAAACAGATGTTTAACTCTGTGAAGATCTGGCTTAGAATTGGTCTTCAGCAACCAATACTTTTTGTGAAAACGAGTGGCTAACAGGATTTAGAGTTCAGATCAATCTCAGATATCCGGTACCCATTTCGTGCTGCGTGAACAAAGGCACATTTGAACTAAGTCACTTGCCTTGGGTGACACCACACATTTTGACACTTGTGTTTCAGGAGTATGAATGCATCTGTGTTTCAACCATCTGGTCAAGTAGCATCGGATGAGTGGGTTGTTTTGAGTGCACTGGGTGAATGTACTGTATTGCTTTATGTTATCACTATTAGGGCTAGTCAACATTCCTGGTTAATTTCCTTCCCTGTATATCTATTCTATTTTTCCAGATATGTTGTTGGTTGGTTGGTTGGTTTGTTGTTTTACGCCGCACTCAGCAATATTCCAGCTATATGACGGCAGTCTGTAAATAATTGAGTCTGGACCAGACAATCCAGTGATTGATATCATGAGCATTGATCTACGCAATTGGGATCAATGACATGTTTTAACCAAGTCAGCGAGCCTGACCACCCGATCCCGTTAGTCGCCTCTTACGACAAGCATAGTCGCCTTTTAAGATACCGTATTTGATGTTATAAGCGCCCACTGCGTTCGCAAAATTAGAAATAGGGGGGCTCTTATTAGAATAAAATTTTGGTGAAAAAACACAACAGAGTTGAAAGATCGTAAATTACGTGGTTTATGCTGACAGCCTGATATGATACAAAAGATGCGCATATTATACACGAAGGTTATATTTTCCAGAATTTTATTGCCCATAATTAAAGGTGCATATAACACACATAACACAAAGAGTGCGTATTATACACGAATAAAAAAGTTTTGTGTACATTGATCAATCGGAAGGGGTGCTAATTGGGATTGTTTACCAACCGATATATTAGCAAATATCGCCGTTGGCGCTTATTACGTCGAATACAGTATATAGTATTTCATCACCAAATACAAAATAACTACATAAACTATTACCAGGTGCCTGAAAGACAGATATTTTACTCATCTTTGTATCAGATTCCCAAAGCATAGCTATGACAACCTAACAAACGTCATGGGTAAACAAGGGCTACATAGGGCTGTGACTGACCATAGATGCAAGGCAAGGGCTCGCTTCCAGTCCATGTTGTCACATGTGTTGACGGCTGTGCTGGATGACCACACCAGCTGACCAGACAGCAGGGAGTAGATCTTCAGTCTTACTTGGTCGATAAAGTGATTTGCCTGGAACATAATCAACACAGCTCTGTCAGAATGCACAAGTGTCAGTGTTGCACCAAGATTTGCGTGTTTTCACAATTGCCATTATTTTCGGCATCCCCAGAAAAAACATCCATAATAAACCCTGTGATACCAAATAGCCTTTGTAACTTGTGACTGTACTCCACAATGCATAAGTAACTTACACAACATCTGTTCTGATTGGTTAATATATACTTGAGACTTGAAATGAAATAAACAATAATCACAATCATAACATCCTCCAGAAATTCCATGATAACATGTTTTGACTTTCATGAGTTTGATCCATATAAGGCACGAATGAATGTTTTATTTCACATACCCCAAGCTCTGCCCACTCCTCCAGCTGCTGGGCCAACATCTGCCGAGCAACATTGCTGCCGACTGCTTGAGCCAATGAGAGCGCCAATCTGTGATCACCTGACTTCTGTGCCAATGTACATGCATCAGTTATCTGTCTCCCACTTAAATAGCTCAAAATGGCTATTAAGTGACCTTGACTCTGAAATTACAAACATAACATACGCGATTAGATTTATGAATGTATATAAAAACAAACTAGCATAGGAAAATATTTCAAGGGTCTTGTCTTTTTAATGTATTCAGGTTATCTGGTAACGCACCAGTATTGCTTTTATAGCCTGGTAACAAGGAAGTCAGTCTTAAGTTCTTTATATCACAGTCAGCGATAGCCAATCTGTTAATAATTGATTCTGAGACAGACAACCAGTGGGTGACAGCATGAGCAACTACCTTCAGCAGGCTTGATTGTTTGTTGTTTTAACGCTGCATCCAGCAATATTCTAGCTACATGTTAATAATCAAGTCTGGACCAGACAGTGATTGATATTGTGAGCAACGATCCATGCCATTGGGGTATGATGACAAGTCACCAAGTCTGACCACCTGATCCATTTGGTCACCTCTTATGACCAGAATAGGTTGCTGCACATCTATTCTTACCCCCACAAGGTTACAGAATGATATGTGGAAATTCTGTTTAACTCATACCCATTATTATATTATTCCACAGTCTAAGTGTTCATTCACTCTCCCATCAGTTGTTGGTTTGTTGTTTAACTCCACACTCAGCAGTATTCCAGCTATATGACGGCGGTCTGTAAAATAATCGAGTCTGGACCAGACAATCCAGTGATTGACATCATGAACATCGATCCACTCAATTGGGATCGATGACATGCTTCAACCAAGTCAGCGAGCCTGACCATCCGATCCTGTTAGTCGCCTCTTACAACAAGCATAGTCGCCTTTTACGGCAAGCATGGGTTGCTGAAGACCTATTCTACCTCGGATCTTCACGGGTCTCTCTCCCATCAGTACAATGTGTTGGTCAATGCATGCAGACAGATCGACCTAATTCTCTGACAGAGCTAACTTCTTCCTCCATGTCTGAGCAGCATCTTGCATGCAATGTGAAATCTGGCCTGAAGCCAAACATGTGAGGATAGTTTGGGCTCACAATGTGAAGCTAGGTTACTTGTACATTTAACTGGAACAGTAGATGTCAGATCAGTTGGTTATTGTGATTTGAAACTTCTGATGGACCAATCAGACTCAAGCATTTACCAAATTCATAGTGGAATTTCATATAACAGTGAGTGAGTGAATACTGCTGAATGAGGCATTCAGCAGTATCAGTTTGTCACATCTACCAATAAATAATTGAATCAGGGTCGTGCAACAACTTACGTGACCGGCAAAGCCTTTTTGGTGGCATGCAATTGTCAACGTGAGGTCAAAATGGGCTTAACTTTGCGTTCAAGAATATGTGCTTGTTCTAGTCTGGATTAAAATGCCTGTGTAATAGTGCTAGCTCAATGAGATACCATGCCACAGTTGACACATTACACTGACTCTGAGCCGACAAGCCCTTGATTCATCCCCATAATGCTGTGTGCAAGGCCGTGTAAGAAAAACTTTCATCTTTTAATGAATATTGGCATGATAAGGAGAGGCCACAGAGGTGGTCTAGAGGTGAGGTGAGGTGAAATTGGGTTTAACGTCGCGTCCAAGATTATTGCACTTATATAGTGACGTGCATGTACGTGTGTGCGTTTGTGTGGCTGCTTGTACTAGTCCGGACTGATGCCGATTTATAGTGCTAGCCCACTGAGATACCATGCCGCAGTTTAACATGAATACCCCACTCAGACACAGTATACTGACTCCGAGCCAACCAGTCCTTGTTTTAGACCCTTAATGCCGAACGCCAGACAGGGTAACAACAAGTACCATCTTTTAACGTCTTTTGGTATGACGCGGCCGGGGATCGAACCCCGAACCTTCCGCTCTACCACTAGACCACGGAGGTGGTCTAGAGTATAGGGTCACCTTGAACTTGGACTCCTGCACTTCTTCCTTGATCTTAGGCTGGGCTGTCTCTGACAACCATTTTGAGAAGGCTTCTCTCCGTGCCTGGCTAACAGCATACTCATCAGTGTCTGACAAAGACATACAGAATATGATCAGATATGTCAAAAGAGGTAAAAAATGACGGATTTGTTTTGACAAATAAAAGTGCTTCAAATAACAGTATTTTAAAGTTTATAAACTCACATCATCAAGAATATATTTTACATTAAACTCTGAAAACAACTGTTCGTCAGAGCCTGAAGAATCTCATGGCAACATTTTCAGTACAGTTATGTGCGGACACATCATAATGCTAATTTACTATTATCAGCCAAGTACTATACCAAATTGTTTTTACTTGATTTTGGCTTCGGATTTAGTAGCTGAAGACACACTGTTATCATGCTCCTAGAACCTGTTACCAGTTTATCGTAGATTCTATAGACATGTAAAGTATTTATCTACATATTAACATTGATAAAACACATGATGACATGTACCAACAACAAACAGTTTTGGGATAATCTGGAGCTGTATCTACGACACATACAGTCAAGTCATGCCAGGTTGAGTGAGTGAGTATGGTTTTACGCCGCTTTTAGCAATATTCCAGCAATATCACGGCGGGGGACACCAGAAATGGGCTCCACACATTGTACCCATATCGGGAATAGAACCCGGGTCTTCGGGGTGACGAGCAAACGCTTTAACCACCAGGCTACCCGACTGCCCCTCATGCCAGGTTGAACAGACCCTTGCAGTAATGACTTTAAATTGTTCTTAAACCTTCGTAACAAAATGTACAAGAGAAACATGTTCAAGGCTGCTTCTAACCCTTCCTCATTCACCTATTGAAGTGTCAGAGGGGGCGGTCGGGTGGCCTAGTGGTCTAAGCGTTCGCTTGTCACGCCGAAGACCTGTGCTTGATTCCCGACACGTGTACAATGTGTGAAGCCCATTTCTGTTGTCCCCTGCCTTGATATTGCTGTGATAATGATTGCTAAAAGCGGCGTAAAACCATACTCACTCATACACTGAAGTGTCAATGTGAACAAGAAAGAAATACTCAATGTCACTGACAAATTTAGACCTTAACAAACTTGGGTTATCTGCAACTGTTGCAGGGATTCATGCAAATTGAGAAAAAATTGTTATTTTGTTTAAAATTTGGGATTTTCTAAAAGTTCATATTTCCTTGATTTCAGAGGTAGTTTAACATTGTATGTTGTGATTGCATTAAATGTCATAATATAAAAGAAGGCATGTAAATCTCTTTCAATCACTTGTGTTTATTAGTGTTGGTTTTAGTCTTGCTATCAGTGTTGCTGTTAGTGTTGGTTTTAGTCTTGCTATTAGTGTTGGTTTTAGTCTTGCTATTAGTGTTGCTATTAGTGTTGGTTTTAGTGTTGCTTTTAGTGTTGCTTTAGTGTTGTTATTAGTATTGCTATTAGTGAAAGTAACACATATAAATAACATGAATTGGGAAATGTTTAGTTCCAAATTGGGAATCTTGAATGACATATGCAGGAGACACAGGGCTGAATATCGGCCACGGAGTGATCTAAACAAATCCCTGTATTGATGTTTACTACAAGACTGTGACTCACCTGAGTACCTGAACTCGGGGAGATTCCCCCAAAGAGCTACACAGAGGTTCCACACCATCCGTATATGATCCACACTGCTCTCATCAGGATGTCCACCTGCAACACAGTCAGCATCAGTGACCCCATAGAAACAACAGGATGCACGGCTCCACATAACTGTTTGAGCTATTGAGTACATACTGACATGTTATCATTCACATTGGGTATTAATACATTTCTTTTGGTATTCAATATATTTTCACTCCTCTGTCCAGTCGAATGGGTTTTGTGAACTTTTAAACGTTTAAAGAAATAATTCTACTTCTATGCTGTTTCGAGTTATTTCTAAATAGCGTAAGTTTTATGTGCTGTCACCTGAGTCAGATGTCACAAAACAACGATGCATGTCTGAGTCAGATGTCACAAAACAACGATGCATGTGTGAGTCAGATGTCACAAAACAATGATGCATGTGTGAGTCAGATGTCACAAAACAACGATGCATGTGAGTCAGATGTCACAAAACAACAATGCATGTCTGAGTCAGATGTCACAAAACAACAATGCATGTCTGAGTCAGATGTCACAAAACAACGATGCATGTGTGAGTCAGATGTCACAAGACAACGATGCATGTGTGAGTTAGGTGTCACAAAACAACGATGCATGTGTGAGTCAGATGTCACAAAACAACGATGCATGTCTGAGTCAGATGTCACAAAACAACGATACATGTGAGTCAGATGTCACAAAACAACAATGCATGTCTGAGTCAGATGTCACAAAACAACGATGCATGTGTGAGTCAGATGTCACAAGACAACGATGCATGTGTGAGTTAGGTGTCACAAAACAACGATGCATGTGTGAGTCAGATGTCACAAAACAACGATGCATGTCTGAGTCAGATGTCACAAAACAACGATACATGTCTCTGTTACAATAAGAGAGAGGTTGCACATCTCACGACAGTTGAGTTCATGTACATGCCATCCCTGCATTCAGTCAGTAGGAAGATCTGTTAAGATAGAATAGGTCTTCAGCAACCCATGCTTGCCGTAAAAGGCGACTATCGGGATGTCATCATATCTGAATTGGCTGGATCAATGCTCATGATGTCAATCACTGGATTGTCTGGTCCAGACTCGATTATTTACAGACCCCTGTCACATAGCTAGAATATTGCTGAGTGCGGCGTTAAACAAACAAACAAACAAATATACAGGAGGAAGAAAATATGTAAAGACTTACGTGTACCCAAGCTGAAAAAGCTACACTGGGCAATTACCAACAGTGTTATACCAATGGGTTATGATACTTCTTCATACATCATTGTACTCAAGCAACTCTTAAATACTCAAATACGCATCTTATCTGGAGGTCTTATCATGATTGGTTGGTTGGATTGTTGTTTAACGCCGTGCTCAGCAATATTCCAGCCTAAGACAGCGGTCTGTAAATAAGAATCTGGACCAGACAATCCAGTGATTAATATCATGAGCATCGATCCACGCAATTGGGATTGATGACATGCATCAACCAAGTCAGTGAGCCTGACCACCCGATCCCGTTAGTCGCCTTTTACGGCAAGCATGGGTTGCTGAAGATCTATTCTACCCCGGATCTTCACGGGTCTGACTGGGATAGCAGTTAACATTCCAGGTTGGTCTAAGCAGGATTAACAGGGTGTTGTGGACATATTTCCACAAAGAAAGAAGAAAGGCTCTGATGTATGGCTGCAGATACTCACTGTTCTCCTCTAAGAGCTTCTCTCCCAGCTGTGCATACTGATGAAGAGAGTCTACACCAGGAGATGGCACAAACAGTGGGCAGCCCCCATCCGTGTCTCGCTGGGAGTTCTCCAGCTGCACATCCAGCATCTCCTCATGGGTGGACTGGAATGGGAGTGGGCATGTCAGTGTTTGTTTGCTTGTTGTTTAATGCCGCAATCGAGTCTGGACCAGACAATCCAGTGATTGATATCATGAGCATCAATCCACACAATTGGGATACAATGACAAGCATCAACCAAGTCAGCGAGTCTGACCACCCGATCCCGTTAGTCACCTCTTATGACAAGCATAATCGCCTTTTACAGCATGCATAGGTTGGTGAAGACCTATTCCACCCCGGATCTTCACGGGTCGCTTGTCAGTGATTTTAACCGAAAGAAATGGCAAGAGGACAGATTTTTTTTCAACATTTGATAAGACATTCTTCAATATCATTACCAAATTTGAAAAATATCTTTAGGACATTTTGAAAGACAATCAGCAACACTGGAAATACCTGTCTGATAAATTAATGTAATATAATAATCTGGCACTGTCCAGGGCTCGATTTAAAAAAATTATTCAACTTGCACCAGGCGCATGTTTAAATTAAAACCTAGTTGCACTGAACAAAACCAGGTTGCACCCGGGTCCCATAAATTTATTAAAGTCGAAACATAGATGCATAAGCTGGTCTAAATAAATAAAATCTGTATCATGATTTTACTTAAATTAGTTACATATTGCTGTAAAACGTGAGATAATCTTCAAGTACCCACAGTTTGGAGACAAGCCCAAGAAAGCATGACAAATTACACAAAACACAGTGGTTAATGGTGTAATAGGGTACATAAAGCTTAAAGGTATTGAGTGAGTTCAAAAGTCCTTGTTGGGGTTGGTTGGGTTGAAAAGTAAGGGTAAGTCAGACACAAATTTTCATTTGTTTTACAAGCACTTCGTGCACTGAGACATAAATATTAGGTTGCACTTTTCAATAATAGGTTGCATTGGTGCATGTTGGAGATAGCTGACTCAAGCCCTGCTGTTTAAACACACTCTTTTTCCAGGTCTTAGTGATGCAGTTTTTAGCACTGCATCTGTATCGTACTCCAACATCAATGGTCATACAAGAACTAATTTTCATGATCAGAGTGAGAGAGTGGTTTATGCTGATTTTAGCAATATTCCAGAAACCTCACATCAGGGAACACCAGCAATAGGCTTCACACATTGTACCCATGTGGGGAATAGAACCCGGGTCTCCTTTAACCTATCAGAGTAAACCCTGCACTCACTATGACTGTCTTATCATTGCCAGTGAGGTAATCTGCTACGTCCATCTTCTCACAGGTCACAGTCCAAGCCTTGCTGCCTGCCCTCACCGGCTTCCCACCCTGGATGCCAGGTAACAGGGAGAATGGTGTCTGCCGAGGTGCCTCTGCAAATGAGTTTTTCATTTAATGCATGCATTTCTGTACGCAAGTTAATTTAAAGTAATTGGTTTTGAATACTTTTGGTGGGTACTTTACGCAAATACACAGCTTATCTGACATGTTCCTGACAAAGATGTAACATTGTCTTCTCTACCTTTCTCCTTGTAGTTGGAGGGTTGGCCACTGTGTACCAGTGTCCAGCCAGGCCCCCAGCCCACACGGAATGACCTGCCCATCAGGCAGCCTGCGTCCACTATCAGCTCCTGCTTCTTGTACATGAGGGAGTCACTGACAGGGGGTATGTCTCTCTTCACTCGCGACCCCACAATCTTCCTGGGTGTGTCCTTCTGGCTCAGCCCACTCGTCAACAGCATGTGTTCGGCTAGTGGAGGATGGCCAAAATTCTGAGGGGGACGGCGAGCTTCTGGGGCTATTATCTTTTGTGAGAAAAGACCTACAAAGGAATTGATTTTTTAAGTTTACTGACCTTCAGACAAATCAAATTGTTCCTCAAGCAATATTTTAAATAATTGAACCTATAATGTCTTTCACAATCAAGTGTACAGTCTTCTAAAGTGAGACATCAAAGGATATAACCAAATTTCAACTGACTTAACCATTAATTTATAGAATGCAAACAATTGCTGCAAAAAACAACTCTTAGAAATCCTAGTTGGGTTAAATCAATTTAATTCATGTGAGGAGGATGACAATTTCCCCGAGTCAATTTAGGCCAATAGTGTAGATAGTTTTCACTTCCACTTCAGCCTACGCCTCTGGGCTCCTACCTGGCGGCTGTTTCTGCATCTCCTGGGGTACTGGAGACTGCGTCACCCTCAGTGGGCTCACATACTTGGACTTGAGTGCGGGGCTGAACAGACTTGGCATTGTCTTGTCCTGCTGCTTCAGAAAGGTCTGGCCGGATGTAAACCCACTCAGCTTGCCTGAAAAAACAACAACATCTCATCTCACACTTGTGGCTAAGAAAACCTTGCAGCTTATGTGACATTGCTCGATGGCCCCGGATGTAAACCCACTCAGCTTGCCTGAGTGAGTAAGTATGGTTTTACGCCGCTTTTAGCAATATTCCAGCAATATCACGGCGGAGGACACCAGAAATGGGCTTCACACATTGTACCCATGTCGGGAATCGAACCCGGGTCTTCGGCGTGACGAGCGAACGCTTAAACCACTAGGCTTCCACTCAGGCCTACCAATAAAAACCTCAGTGAGCTACCAAACTATGGAATATGGACACACTCTAAATAGACACAGCCACACAAATTACAAGAGACCATCCCCATAAAGTGTTCATTGGAATGATTAAAAACCCGCCACATTTTCAATGGAAATTAACACAGTAAATCATTCAGACTGCATCAACCCGAGTGTGAACTAATTCAGTTTGTTGTGGTCTCTATTGAAAATGTGGCAGGTTTTATGGGCATTGTGTCTTGTTTAAAATTTGGGTGGCTATTTCCAATTAAAGTAGGTACATATTCCATAGTTTGGTAGCTCTCTGCCGGTTTTCATTGGTAGGCCTGTCATCGCACTGTCACAGGTCAACGTAAAAGTCAGCTTCTACCGTCTCAGAACGACATGAGGATCCGAACCAAGGCCTTGAGCTTCATGAGCTAACGCTTTAACCATTTGGCTACCCCCTGCCCCTCCTACCTTTGAAGTCATCCTGGTAGTCGTCGTCTCCAAAGAAGGAAGCCTTCATGACCTGCATGCTGTGAGCACTGACCCCCATGCTGGAGGCGAGGCGGTGGGAGGAAGGCGTGTCGGTCATGCCCTTCATATCATCATCTTTGTGAACATAGAAATATCAGATTAGAGTGTTTGATTGTTTGATGATTAACGCCGCACTCAGCAATATTCCAGCTATTTGACGGCGATCTGTAAATAATCGAGTCTGGACCAGATAATCCAGTGATTGACATCACAAGCTTTGATGAAAGTGACTGACAGCACATGCCAAAGTTGTTTGTGAGGAAGGAAATGAGTGAGAGTTGTTTAATGCTGCTTCTAGCAATATTCCAGCAATATCTTGGAAAGGACACCAGAAGTGGACTGCACGCACTGTGCCCATGTTGGGAACTGAACCTGGGTCTTCGGTGTGACGAGAGAGCGCTTTAACCACAAGGCTACCCCACTGCCCTAGAGGGAGTAAGTTTGGTATAAAACTGCAGTGTTTCATTTATAGCAAGGTGTCAGTTTGATGTAGAAGGAAAGTCAGAAGAGATGCAGGTCTCAAACGCTTACCACTTGAAAACCCACAACCACAGGTATGGAGCTGACAAACCCAGTGCCTTACTCTGGTAAATTTGTATTCCAACTCATGATCATATAGCTTAGATAAAGTTTAAGTCTCATGGGTAGGTATAACTCTGGAGAACTGGATAGATTGTAGCATCATTACTGTAAACATCACATTCAAAACATTGAAATTGGCATGGAAAAAAGGTTAATCTCCACTTAAGTCCCCTGTCTTTCAATTTCAAGACTGAAACGAAAAAAACAGAGGTGAAGACTTTATATATAGCGGCTCCATGAATGGTCACTGTTGGAGATGTCCTCCAAAATTGCACGCTTGTTTGCAAAAGCCCATTCTCAGTTCGCGTTCATCGTCAGTTGCACATGTTTCGTGGCAGGTAAATTCAACATAGCAACTTTACAGATTTTAATACTTTAGGCCATACCGAATCACAAATGCTTAACCAAAATTAAACTTTAATAGAAGAACGCATGTTTCCCCCAATTGTCACTACCAGCTGTTTCCCCACATGTCACTACCAGCTGTTCCCCAATTGTCACTACCACCTGTTCCCAATTATCACTAGCAGCTGTTTCCCCAATTGTCACTACCAGCTGTTTCCCCAATTATCACTACCAGCTGTTCCCCCAATTGTCACTACCAGCTGTTTCCCCAATTATCACTAGCAGCTGTTACCCCAATTGTCACTAGCAGCTGTTTCCCCAATTATCACTAGCAGCTGTTTCCCCAATTATCACTAGCAGCTGTTACCCCAATTGTCACTAGCAGCTGTTTCCCCAATTATCACTACCTGCTGTTTCCCTAATTGTCACTACCAGCTGTTTCCCCAATTGTCACTACCACCTGTTTCCCCAATTGTCACTACCTGCTGTTTCCCTAATTGTCACTACCAGCTGTTTCCCCAATTGTCACTACCAGCTGTTCCCTAATTGTCACTACCACCTGTTTCCCCAATTGTCACTACCAGCTGTTCCCTAATTGTCACTACCTGCTGTTTCCCTAATTATCACTACCAGCTGTTCCCCCAATTGTCACTACCAGCTGTTTCCCCAATTGTCACTACCTGCTGTTTCCCCAATTGTCACTACCACCTGTTCCCAATTGTCACTAGCAGCTGTTACCCCAATTGTCACTACCAGTTGTTTCCCCAATTGTCACTACCAGCTGCTTACCCAATTATCACTACCAGCTGTTCCCCTAATTGTCACTACCAGCTGTTCCCCTAATTATCACTACCTGCTGTTTCCCTAATTGTCACTACCAGCTGTTCCCAATTATCACTAGCAGCTGTTACCCCAATTGTCACTACCAGTTGTTTCCCCAATTGTCACTACCAGCTGCTTACCCAATTATCACTACCAGCTGTTCCCCTAATTGTCACTACCAGCTGTTCCCCTAATTGTCACTACCAGCTGTTTCCCCAATTGTCACCACCAGCTGTTCCCAATTATCACTAGCAGCTGTTTCCCCAATTGTGACTACCAGCTGTTCCCAATTATCACTAGCAGCTGTTCCCCTAATTGTCACTACCAGTTGTTTCCCAATGTCCCTACCATTTTTGTTTCCCCAATTGTCACTACCAGCTGCTTACCCAGTTGTCACTACCAGCTGTTTCCCTAATTGTCACTACCAGCTGTTCCCTAATTATCACTACCTGCTGTTCCCCAATTTGTCACTACCAGCTGTTTCCCCAATTGTCACTACCAGTTGTTTCCCAATGTCCCTACCAGTTGTTTCCCCAATTGTCACTACCAGCTGCTTACCCAGTTGTCACTACCAGCTGTTTCCCCAATTGTCACTACCAGTTGTTTCCCCAATTGTCACTACCAGCTGCTTCCCTAATTATCACTACCCGCTGTTTCCCTAACTGTCATTACCAGCTGTTCCCCTAATTGTCACTACCAGCTGTTTCCCCAATTGTCACTACCAGTTGTTTCCATATTTGTCCCTACCAGTTGTTTCCCCAATTGTCACTACCAGCTGCTTACCCAATTGTCACTACCAGTTGTTTCCCCAATTGTCACTACCAGCTGTTTCCCCAATTGTCACTACCAGTTGTTTCCCTAATGTCACTACCAGCTGTTCCCCCAATTGTCACTACAAGCTATTCCCAATTGTCACTACCAGCTGCTTCCCCAATTGTCACTACCAGCTGCTTCCCCAATTGTCACTACCTGCTGTTTCCCTAATGTCACTACCAACTGTTCCCCCAATTGTCACTACCAGCTGTTCCCCCAATTGTCACTACCACCTGCTTCCCCAATTGTCACTACCAGCTGCTTCCCCAATTGTCACTACCAGCTGCTTCCCCAATTGTCACTACCAGCTGTTTCCCTAATGTCACTATTATGTATGTTTCCCCAATTATGACTACCACATGATCCTTAGTTTCAACCCACCAGAGTCTTCCATATATATCTCAAAGGAAACCTATCATCCAGTGCCACCTACCAAACATTTCCCTCAACCCACCCGAGTGTTCCATATCTCAAAGGAAAACCTATCATCCAGTGCCACCTACCAAACATTTCCCTCAACTCACCTGAGTCTTCCATATCTCAAAGGAAACCTATCACCCAGTGCCACCTACCAAACATTTCCCTTAACCCACCTGAGTCTTCCATATCTCGAGGGAAACCTATCATCCAGTGCCACCTACCAAACATTTCCCTCAACCCACCTGAGTCTTCCATATCTCAAAGGAAACCTATCATCCAGTGCCACCTACCAAACATTTCCCTCAACCCACCTGAGTCTTCCATATCTCAAAGGAAACCTATCATCCAGTGCCACCTACCAAACATTTCCCTCAACCCACCTGAGTCTTCCATATCTCAAAGGAAACCTATCACCCAGTGCCACCTACCAAACATTTCCCTTAACCCACCTGAGTCTTCCATATCTCGAGGGAAACCTATCACCCAGTGCCACCTACCAAACATCTCCCTCAACCCACCTGAGTCTTCCATATCTCGAGGGAACTTCTCCATGGTAATATCTGGCATATCCTCGTCAAAGTCATCCATACCCTCTGACTGGGCGTAATGGGCTTCGTACCCCTCCTTGGGAGGCGAAACTGGTTTACCAGTCAGACCTTGAAGTTGGAAATCAATGTCCCCTTGACCTTTGACCTCCTTCCCCTTCATCTGGCCTTCAGTTTGTATCTTCAACTTCTGAAAGGTAATATTTTATTGATCACTGAGCATCCACAAGTGACCATTTTCCATGAAGCAAGCTTGTTACTGAGGCAAAACAGGTCCTAAGCACTGACCACATTGGGTAAACCAACAAGCAAAGATGTCATGGATAGAAATGTATTTGTTTTCAAGAGTACCAAAGGACACCCATAGAAATATTTAGGTATGCTCTTTGGCAACTTGGTATGCCCACAAGCAGTTGTGAGCTAGACAGTTAGCCCCCTTTTCAATGTTTTAATTTCGGAAACCCAATATTTATTTTATGAACCATACTGTATAGTAAGTGTGTGCCCATCATTTTCCATGTACTTGTCATATATATTTGCGCAAAAGTATTAGTTGATCCATATTATTTACTTTGTCATAACTTATTGTAAAAAAAAGGATGTAAATGTACCCTTCTGGCACTGGGAAGGGTATATATTGCTGACAAACCAAGGATCATTATCAAGGCAGATCTTGGATTCAGGCTTACTGTTGGTGGATCTTGAAATAGCTGGATAAACATCAACTCTTAGGTCAAGTGGTATGGTACAATTATTGTCTATTTCATACTTTACATGTTTACAAAAGACCTCACAAGTCATATATCTGCATCCTGCTTAACTCTGTACAGTATCTTGTAATTTGAATGATCAAGATTTGAATGTATCACAGCATCTAAATTGCCATGTGGAAATAAACCAAATTTGACACAGGACAGACATTTCCAATGTGCACTGGTATCAATTGTTTGATAGGCATTACTTAGAGCCTTGCTTGACAACGGTATAAGGATCTACACCGAAACGTCGCCGCTACAGTAAATAAAAAAATTGTTATCCATAAATTATCTCTACTTTGTGCACTGTTATAGTGAATGAAATTTTGAGGTTCCTGTTCTTGTAAAAAAGTTATTGCAGCAAGTATGAATAATGAACACAATTACATCTTAAATTTGTGTACAATCTCACTGAGGTCAGATCTTAGTTCTTACTACCACTAAAACAAAGATCTGAGGACATCCCATTAGGAGTCCCTTTAGAACAACCTTTCATCCGACCAATCAGAGCATTGCTTACCAGATCAGGAAAGTGACAATCAAATCTAATCCGATTTCTAATCATGCAACCTCGAAAAATAAATTAAAGTGGGGTTTTCAGAACAACAGTTATGGGCTTAACAACTTAATCCATATGATCTAGGCCATCTAATAGCCATTCCAGAATGTTCTTTTGTTCAGTTTTCAATTTGTAAATCGAGAATGTGTCAAGAATGTTTCTAAGCGTAGTCGCCAGTTTGAAACAAGTGCCATAAAGCACAAGAAAGCTGCCTTCTGATAGGCTAATGTTGACTTCATGTCAGTTATTCCATTGGTCGGTCAAAGTTTATGAATGGTCGGTCTGACAGGACCCGTAATGGGATGTACTCAGTCTTTTGTTTAGCAGTAGTGAGAATTAAGATCTTATTTTATAGAGGCTGACTTGTCTACAGTCACATTTTCTTCATACCGATCCCTACCATTGCCTTCATGACCCATTTCTTGGGAATATTTTTAATCTTGGATTTGTCCCTGCAATCAACGATGCTACTAAGCCATGTCTCTTGACAATTGGGAAAGTGCAAAACACATGACCATAAGAGGGAAATGTTCACTATATATTCTTGGATCATGTTCCATTCCTCGCGAAAAACAATCAGAAAAACAAATTTTGGGATGAACAAAAGTTCCTTTTGATATATGCAAATATTCCCAACAATATTTCTGGGAGGGGTTTTGAACTAACATGTTCCGGATAAAATAGATTTCTCTTTACGTCCATTTAACATGCAGCTCAACAATGCAATTCACCATACTGTAAACTTTCATTGGCAACATATAGTTTTGACCATCAGCCAATATTACGGCCTGTAGCCACTAGACCAAATCTGTGTTTTGCAAAATGTCTTTCAGTCCAATGAACTGAGCTGATCAAAGTATTTGCACTGACCAAAATCTACTGAAAAACACACACAAACAAGTACAGGTTTAAATGTATTTGGTAAAGACCATTGTAGCTTCAACAAACATAAAAAAAAACAACTTAAACTTCTTCTGAGAACAAATAAATTCAACCAAGTAAAAAAAACTACAGAAACACATTTGTATGAGGAATCTAACCAAAACAGCACTACACAATAACAAGAACTGTAGATCAGCATATTTCTGTTTCTTTATTTCATAACAACATATAACATTCTTAATACTAAATACAAACTAGTGCATACCATACACATGAAACATGCAAAGACCAACATGTGGAGGACCATATGCACAAAAGTAAAATGTATAAAATATTTATGTTAATCAAAGGATCAACACAGGAGTATATCATAATCAAGTTAGAAACTGGCACCAGTCTAACAGCCTCAACCGACATTCACAATAGTATACATTTCCATAGGATATTAGAAATTGCATTAATCATTTTTCCTTATATCAATGTATACTACAGAAAAAGTGTAAAGGACCACCCAAATCTTTCATATTACTGTAGTTTACATGTCATGCTACTTTTGTTTATGTCATATCTATATGTATCTGAATTGACTGATATAGAGATTGTTCAGTTCCTGGTGGTCTCTGACATTATTTCAAAGAAATATTAAACAGCAAACCTTTCACAAGGAGTAGGCCGAAAGACTAAGAAGTTTTAGAACACTACTTTGGCACTTACACTAAGTAGATACACGGAAACAATTTGAGATGAATTTTGAAAAAGCAATTTAGTAATTACACACAAGCAAGAAGTTCATATTACATATCAACCATGATGAATTGCTGGTGATCATAGTAAATAAAGGATATACAGTTCCAAATATTTGGAGAGAGGGAATATATAGATAGCTCTACATTGCACATACATCAGAATTAAAAAAATATCACAGTTCAACAAGTGCATGAAATACAAAATATATACAATCTGTACTAATAAATACTCATTCAACAAGTAAATATAAACTTTATTTGAAATTTCAGATTTGAGATTGAAAGCAAACAAAATTAAGGAAAAAACCAAAAACCTTTTAGTTTTGTAAAAAATAATAATTAAAGCTTGATCAATTAATGATGATGGTGAACAATAATGTGGAAACAGTTAAAAGCTTATAACATTGTAAATTCTCAACTGTTCTGAAATAACTAAAATAATGAGTCATTGCATGATTGACTGAATATAATGGTTGACATGATTGATGATTATAGTGAACACTAACAAAGGTTAAAAGTTTCAACAGAAAATTCATGAAACAAATGCTTCTGACATGTACATTATCTTCACGAGAGCATGAGTAGGCATACATCTCTGTGCATATAGCAGACTGTTCCCACTCTTAAGAGTAGAATCCATGTAGCATGATAATCACTTCTCAGATAAGCATTGAAAGGCTTCTGATTCTCGTGGCCTATTTACAAGTTGTCCATCATATGAAATCTCCATTCCAATGCCTTCTAAGCTGTTCACCATCACCATACAGAACTACCTCAAATATCAGCTCAGCTGAATGGCACATTCCATTTAGAATTGTTCATTTGAATGCATTCCATCCAATCACAGAAGTCGACACAATTTCTATCCATGTTTCAATGAGCAACGCATCAATCCCGCTGATAGGTTGACTCATGAAGATTGGAAGGTTCCCACTGGATGTCAGTCAGCCAATCACACACACCACACTCTCTCTCCTGTGCTTTCATTGGCTACTGACCTGAATCTGCAGTTGTTGTTCATTTGCAAGCTTCAATTTTTTCTTTTCTGATTCAGAAACTTCCTCTTCATCGGAGTCATCAACAAGACCATATTTAGAAAAGTGCTTTACCTGGAAAAGAAATTTACATTCAATGTGTGTGAGGTCAATGATGTTCATCCTATTGTTTGTTTATTTGTTGTTAAACACCGCACTCAGCAATATTCCAGCTATATGACAGCGCTCTGTAAATAATCAAATCTGGACCAGATAATCCAGTAATTGATAGCATGAACATCGACCCATGCCATTGGGAAATGATGACATGCATCAACCAAGTCAGCGAGCCTGACCACCTGATCCCGTTAGTCGCCTCTTACGACAAGCATAGACGCCTTTTACAGCAAGAATGGGTTGCTGAAGACCTATTCTACCCCGGATCTTCACGGATCGATGTTCATCCTAAGGTAAGTCTTATACCATTAACATTTTGAAGATGACATCTCTCATAAATCCTAAAAGCAACTAAACTGTTCCCATATATGTATATTCATATTCATATTCCATCTTGCAACATCCAGAGGACAATGTTATATTCATAACAAGAGTTAGTGAGTGAAAAAGTGTTTTATGCCAGCACAGACACCAAAATATAATTCAAGCTTGTGTCAGGCAGACCATAGTTTAGCAGCCTGGGTGCCCTTGTTGAAAACAACCTCAGCGCTATGACTGTCGTAAGTCTATGTAAAGGTATGGGAGTTACAATCACCTTAGCGCTAAGATCGCTTTGTGCAGCGGCACCGTGGGCAATTAGACATTGTTTCAGGGCATGACGACACACAATCAGCCTGGTCACATAATGAAAGCTCGCAACCCTAAGTTCAGTCAGTCCTTTCAACTAGATTTGGGTGCTGTGGTCCTTTTCTGCTCCAAACATTAAGGAGACAGAAATAATCAAGTTAACCCAATTACCCTTGTAACGTTCTAGTCAAAAACAGTCTTTCATGAAACATTGATTACAAAAATGCACTGTGAGAGAAAAATGGCCTCACTTGAAAAACCCACGACCCAGTTTCGGGTCTGTAGTCTATGAACTTGGCTCCAATCTTTGCTGTGATCTCTTCAATTTTCGTCTGGTAGCCCATTGTCCTCAATCTGGAAGAGTCCTGAAAAGGAAAGAACACCCGTCCATACTTGGCCTCTCATAAATTGAGAAAGAAAAAACAAGAACACTGAAATATCAGTGATCCAGCTGTGTTAGCATGTGTGACAGTATTAATACTATGGTACAGTGCTAAAAGGTGGTGCTCCAAGTGCGAAATCAGCACGACCGGAAGGGCTCGAATCTCTCAACATCATCATCCTCATTTTCATCCTCATTTTCATCATCATCAGTATTCCAGAAAATCTACAAACAGGGATTCTTGTGCCTCATGTGACAAACAATACCCCACAGTTGAATGCTGAATCAGCAGGTTATCAATTACACTGTTGTCAACCCCCCAGAATATGTCAGCTTAACTAAATCAGTTCAAATTGAAACTGATTGTGATAAAATGAAGTTTGTTTCAATAGAGAAACTGGCACCTCCAACACCATGAACTTTCATTAATAAACATGTACATGCCAGTGTTACTTCAGTGGGTCCTGTGGCCTACCTTGATTGGAGACCTTGTGGACTTGTCACTGGGCCAGACACAGTCCAATGTTACCTCGGCTATCTTGTTGAGCCCCTCCTCAAGAGGGGGTTTCTTGTCATCATCGGGGTACACTATCACCTCCTTACGCCGGAAGTGCACTGTCAGCAAAAATGAGCATTAGAATTTTCTGCTTTTTCATCGAAGTGAACAATAATTTATTTACTTGAATTTGGAAACGAAATAGTAGAAAGTAACCACTGCAACAACAAATCCTCAGAGAAGTAAATACCATTGGTAAACACTATGAGTTCAATCAAGAAAGACAACAGCTGCTTTGTGACTGGTGGTTTAAGAAGTATAACTTGACTGAGAAAACAGGTAATCTTTCAACATTTTGACTGGTCAGAGGACAACTAAATTATTTGTTTGCGGTCTGTAAATAATCGAGTCTAGACCAGACAATCCAGTGATTGACATCATGAGCATCAATCTACGCAATTGGGATACGATGACATGTATCAACCAAGTCCTCAACCTGACCACCTGATCCCGTTAATTGCCTCTTACGACAAGCTCAGTCGCCTTTTGCGGCAAGCATGGGTTGCTGTAGACCTATTCTACCCCGGATCTTCATGGGTTGTCAACTAAACGAACTAGCACATGTCATGCCCTACAATAATCTGTTTGGAAAATAAATACTTATGATAATTTGACTACTTTCACCATGTTCAGATGGTAGAATCTGAGTAAAGCTTAACCAAATTTCATCAGACAAGATACAACATAAATCAATAACTTTAACTTCTTTGCAATCAATCTCAGTTTTCTTACCAATTTCATCCAGATTCAAGTTGGCAACATTGGTTGAACCAGGGAAGAAGAGACTGCCATAATTTTCTCGTCCGATGGTAAAATCATCCACAAAGCAATCTCCATTCTCATCTATCAACTCCACAAGGCTGTCTAGTGACGGACTCGTGTAGTAGCCAGGTCTGGTCAAGATGATCCCAGTTGGGTGGGGCTCGAAGTCTTCCATCTAAACAAAACCAAAGATCAACTACCCATCCACTGCTGTCAAAATTTACAAAATTTATCAGGACAGAAGAACAGTTGAACCTTCTTGTTTTGTCATCTTACAAAATTATCGTGGGGGTATCTACAATCAAATACACCTATACTTATTGTTTATGTTAAACACATTCAGCTGTTATTGAGCTTTTGTTTCAGTTATTCCACATGGACCTGCAACTGTTACCTGTGCCTGGGGCTCTATGGAGACATTTGGATCTTGTTCACTGTGAGATTTGTTCATGTCAGAATGGCTGTTCCCTGACAGAACTTTGTTCTTGGAATTCAGAGCAGCAATAGTGTCATCCAGACTGGTGGTACTGAAAGAAAGATGGATAATTTATAGCTTCACAGAACAATGACAAGAGGGCAAGGTCGAGGTCGAGGTCGAGGTCAAGGTCAATGTCAATCTTTTAAACCAATGGAATTATGCCACCTACAAATTTAAAGAATCCGACACAGCTATGTACAGAAGTTTTGTTACCTCTTGCTGTGTCAGCATAATGTGGGAGGAGAGAACAAAATATTGGATGTCAAAGATACTGGAAATGGGTACGGGGCTGAAGTACCATGGATCATAATGAGGGTGAACCTGGGATTCGAACTCCAGACAAAAATCTGCATAGCAATCTGCAGTGTCTCAGACTCTGGGCAGTAGATACATGGTTGTCATTGTTTGTTGTTTAATGCCAAACACAGTAATACCCCAGTTATACGTTGGCAGTGTGTAAAACCAGTGATTGATATGAGGGACAGGCCGCCTCCCACTCTATTAAATCTCCGAGAATGACAAGCATTGGATGCTAGGAACCAATTTTCAACTGGACTCCCCAATGGACAAAAAATAAGTGATGAAAATTCACTGCAGATGACCTACTCTTTCATAGGGGAGTGTCTGGTAGGTTCTGTGATGCTCTTGGTACGTAGTATTGGCTCTGTGTCCGGGCTCTGGGCCGCACGATCTAAGTCAGCTTGTAGTGTTCTGTAAATAACATGTTCAATTGTTCAATGTGATAAATGAATTGTAATGACTTCAGATGCAGTCCTATCATTTGACAGGCTGTATCAGTGTTCCCACTGGGTCTTGAAACTGCCAGTCCAGGTGGACTGGTAACTCTAAAAATTACCAGTCCACCCTAATTTTTGTCAGTCCCAACTTTCAACAAATAAAAAAACATATGAAAATTACCTGGTTATAATTCTTTCAACATCATGTTCAATGCAATGACATCATCTCTGAAGTAACTTAGTTAGATCTACACATCATTCACATTAAGTTCAGTCGCAATTTTCTCTTTTTTTTTTAAATATTCAAGACGAAGTCACTTCAAAAATATTTTTAACCTTGAAGCAATACACTAATAATCGACAAGGGGAAACCCTGATGGTAACAGACAAGCGGTTTGAAAAATATAAATATATGAATATCACAGATTTATAAGGTACTTTATTTGCTGGTCCCAAGGGACTAGCAGTCACATGAATTACCGGGCCAAGCCTAATTTTGGTAATTACCAGTAAACGGGAACACTGTGTATTAAAAGACAACGAATCAAGTGATGAAGTGCATTCAAATTTTGCCAATCGAAACCAGTGCAGCCATCACTGTGGAACAATTATTGTAAGTATGTTCGAGTATGGGAGTTATGATAGTCTTAGCGCTAAGTTCGATTTGTGTAAGAGGAGCCAGGTACCTGTACCCAAAACAATTTTAATGATACAATAGTCACAAGTCTACATTAGAGTTTGTTTTGTATGTTTGTTCTTTAATGCCAAACTCAGCAATATTCCAGCTATGCGATGGCAGCCTGTAAGTAATCAAATCTGGGCCAAACAATCCGGTGAGTGACATCATGAGCAACTATCTACACAACTTGGATACGATAACATGCATCACCATCAGATCAATTTGGTCGCCTCTTACAACCAGTATTGGCTGCTGTGGATCAATTCTTATCCCGAATCTCCACAGGGTCTATCTATAAGTGTGGGAGTAAAGATCCTCTTTGCTCAATAATCACTTTGACCAGGGCCAATGACAGCATCAAACGTACTGTTAATAGACAATTGGTTGGTTGATTGGTTGGTTGGTTGGTTGGTTGGTTTGTTGTTTAACGCCGCACTCAGCAATATTCCAGCTATATGATGGTGGTCTGTAAATAATCGAGTCTGGACCAGACAATCCAGTGATTAATATCATGAGCATCGATCCACGCAATGGGGATCGATGACATGCATCAACCAAGTCAGCGAGCCTTACCACCCGATCCCTTTAGTCGCCTTTTACGACAAGCATAGTCACCTTTTACGGCAAGTATGAGTTACTGAAGACCTATTCTACCCCGGAATCTTCACGGGTCTGTTAATAGACAAAGAAAGATAAGTTCTTTCTCACAAATCCGGTTGCTAAAAACTGTTCAACTCTCAAAAACTAGTTTTTAGTGTGAAAACCACTCTAACCTTGTGATGGGTTTAGGTCTGGGTGTGTCCTGGCTGAAGGATTGTAGGTCTGGCTGTTCATCAGTCTGTGATGAGGCTCTGCTCATATTGGAAGAGTCTCCATTTACTTTCTTGAGAGTCAGTTTCTTCACACTTCGACGAGGCATGAACGTGTCATTGCCAAAACTGAAATCCTCATCCTCCAGCCCATCAAACAACTGGGACTGAAACAAAGTCACAATCACTTATACATCCACCATCACATACATCACTGTACATGTAGTACCAGATAACGCAACACCTGTATTAATCAACCAGTCAATGATTCCAGTCAAACCAGTCAGTGACTTTAGTCAAGTCCTGTTTGTTGTTTAATGCTGCACTCAACAATATTCTAGCTATACAATCAAAAATAATCAAATCTGGACCAGCAATCCAGTGATTGATAGCATGACCACCCGATCTCATTAGTCGCCTCTTAAGACAAGCATAGTCGCCTTTTACAGCAAGCATGTATTCTGCACTCAACAATATTCAAGCTATATGACTGTGGTCTGTAAAAAATTGAGTCTGGACCAGACAATCCAGTGATTGATATCATGAGCATCAATCTATGTAATTTGGATATGATGACATGCATCAACCAAGTCAGCGAGTCTGAGCACCCTATCCCGTTAGTCGCTCCTTACAACAAGCATAGTCACCTCTTACGGCCAGCAATGGTTGCTGATGAACTATTCTACCCCGTATCTTGACAGGTATAGTCAAATCCTGGTCAAGTAAGATCTGCATACAAGTTCAAACACTCTGACTGAAAAACAGCATGAGCATGAGCATGAGCACCCCACTCAGACACATCATACTGACTGATCTGCCCAGGCCTTGTTTCACCCCTCAAAGCAGACCGCCAGGCAGGGTAAGAACAAATACCACCTTTTAACATCTTTTGGCATCACGAGGGGCAGAACCTCTATCCATTAGACTGTTGAGGAAGTTTCAATAAAAATATTTTAAACCACAGCTATGACATGGCAGCTTGTACACAATTAAATTTAGCCCCAACAAACCGGTGGTTTTCACAGCAAGAAGGATCAGGTGATAATGTGAAACAAACATATTCTATTATTATGGATTGCCATACCTTGCTTCCATTCATGAGTGAGTGTAGTGACTTGGGCTTGATCTTGGCCGTGGGTCGAGGACTCACTTTGTACTGACTGGAAGAACTCAGGGCAGCTTTCTGGGCAGCAGGGTTGGTTGGTTTAAGAACTTCCTCCCTTTTTTCAGAGTTCTGGAACAAAAGGGATGATAATGTGAATGTGGATGATTTTTTTAACCTGCTTTGTTCAAAGATTTTTCATTTCATAGCCAAAGCAGGCAAATTACATTTCTTAAATTGGTGAACTCACTATAGTATCTAGCTTCAGTTACATATAACACTTTGAACATTGTCAATAACTGCCACTGGCGGGTGAAAAGAATTCATAGCATTTTCAAATATCCATGGGATTGTGTATCTGAAAGAAACTGTCATATTTGCACTGTCCACTTCCAACAAAACAATGACACATGTATAACTGACATCCCTTACATTAATACTACAGGAACTACACTATACTTGTGAGTTTAGCAACACCTTCATCAGTATTTCACTAAGCTTGATGATGCTACACCTTAATTTACCACTTTTGGTTCACAATTGGGGCAAATCTAGGACTCCAACCATTGATCAAAGGATTCTGGCGTGATTGTTGGAACATCTGAATGATGGGTAGAGGTGTCTTTCACCACTGGGACACACTGTCTGCGGCCAAATGCAAGCTGCTTGCAGTGGAGGGATTTAAAGATACAGTCAGTGTACAGGTACTGACCTGTTTGAGATTCCAGAAGAGAGGGGAATCTCCAAACGGTGAGCTGGTGAGTGCCAAGAGCTGCTGCTGAAGCTGGTTGTTGCTTGCTGATGGGTTGGTTGTCCTGAAACGTGCAATAGCATTCACGACATTGGTGACAGCAAATGTGAAATTGCTAAATAATTGTTAATATCATAGCTGAGGGTAGATGGTGTTTAAGACCAAGTTCAAGATGACTGTACTAGTCCGGACTAATTCCGGCTTTATAGTGCTAGTGCTAGGGCTAGCCCACTGAGATACCATGCCACAGTTAAACAAGGATACCCCACTCAGACACAAAAGAATCTTCAGCTAACCAGTCCTTGTTTCATTCCTTAATGCCAGACACCAGGCAGGGTAACAACAAGTACCATCTATTAACATCTTTTGGCAGAATGGAGCCATGGATCAAACCATTGCCCTTCCGTTCTCCAGGCAGATGCTCTATCCACTAGACATGTCAACCATGTGAATATGAAAAGCCCCTATGAAGGTTCCTACTCACGTTCCCAGCGTGCTGGTGTTTCCTCCAAGTGAGAAGCCGGAGCCAGTTACTACACCTCCAAAACCTGTGGACGCTGTAGTCTGACCGCTGTTGAAGTTGAAGCCAAAGGTTGAAGGCTTGTTCATGTTGTTGGCACCAAACAGTCCTGCACCAGTCTGTCCAGTTTGACCGAAGTTGAAGGAGTTTGTTGGGCCCCCTAATGTGGAGGCTGCAGCCGCTCCAAAACCACCTGGCTTGTTGCCAAACAGACCAGCTCCTCCTGTGTTTGCTGTTGGTAAAATTGAAGGACTTTGTTATTCTATATCACTCACACTCCATCAGTCAGAAAAATGTATATAAACTAAACGCAATCAAAGATTCTTCTGGAAATGCTTGACCTACACGTTTGTAATGGACAAGTGGTTTTGGTACAAGTCTTACATGTTTCTTTAGTAACCTGTATCTAAATTTGAATGTGTTGCAGTTGCTTCAGTACTCTACTTAATTTACGATCAGGATAAACAAGACCTGATCCTGTGTCTCTTTTCAATGCTTTTTAAAACAATAAATACATAAAACTTTTCACTATGGTATACAAAACCAAAATTTCATGATTATTATCTGATTCCTTTCAAAACAAAAATAAGCATTACGCAACAGAAAATTATGTAGCCTTGTAAAGCGTTAAAAACATATACACGAAAATACTAAGTAACTAGTAGCGTAATTATATATATACATTATATATCAGCACACAACAAGAAATCAGCTGACAGTGGAAGATAATGCAATCATATTTTGAGTTAAACGTATCTTCCCAAAGCTTAGCCTGAAAAAAGAAGTGATAAAGTTGAAAGGAAGACAGTATTCCTGGAATCAGAGATTGGAAGATCCCACAATAGTAGTAAATATCAAAGTGGCCCACAAAGTAATTGGGCTTGCATCAGGCAAACCAAGATGATACAACATTGCACATCAAATTTGGCAGGCCAAAAAAAGGGGTCAACTTGAGAGTAAATTCTTCTTGCTCAGTGCCCAAGAAATCAACAGTAAACTTTGATGCAAAATATTATCTACAAGATCGTTCTGTGCTCTCAGGAATTTAGGGTTAACAGGTTGGTTATTTCATTCCTCAGTCACAAGGTCTAGTGCCCACTTGATCCTGAAGAATTAATTTGAAAGATCAAAATATATGAGTCTACATATGCACTTCACTGCCTCTTAAACACTGCTTTGTGATGCATTGCATTTGGTAAAGCGTGACTTGTGAGTGTGCTTCATGAGAATTGTTAATTTTTCAGAAATGTGAAACAAAAGGTAAACATGGAAAGTTGCTGGTCAAACAGCAAGTGTTTCAATAGGCGTTGTATGCCAAAGGATGCATTGCCACACAGTCAGTCTTCCTGCAACATCACAGCCTCTTACATGACTGTAACCACCATGTCCACCACACTAGTTACATCGGACAAGCATAGGGTGTTGAATTTTCCATAGAATCCCAATAGGGAATTGAGAGCAGTGTTAAAAATACCAAGTCCACCAGTCTGACAAATAAAATCCAAGTAGGACAAGTGAAATTTCCTTGTGGCCAACCACTTTAACCATTAGATAGATGGCAACTCTGTGTAGCAGATCATTCTTGCAGTTGGGTTAAAAAACATTTCTAACCCTGAGTAAGAGTATGATTGAGGACAGGCTTGCACACAAAGAAGATCGTGGCCAAAAGCAACAGATGGTTGCAATATTTTACTTAGCACAAACACCCTTTACCAAAACATGTTACAACTTTACATATCTCCTAGTCACCAAAAATACAAAAGAGTTGTTCATCCACATGCTACAGCAAGCAATTGATCACACAGACACAAAACTGAAACCCATAATAACACTACGTCCCCTGATTCTGCATGTGCAAATGAGGCAACAGGTAAGCAGGGCTGGCAGCATGAGAATACCATTAAACTGTTACCTACCTGTCGAACCAAAACCTCCAAACCCTGAATGCATTGTTAGAAAATAACATTAATGACTTATCACTTTACATATCAGGAATGCATCCAGGAGTGTTTGCATGTGCCCATGGCAGGAAGAAAGAGGAAATTTTCTTTTCGGGAAATTGTAAATAGCAAATTTTGAACTGAAAAGTAACTGTGATTTGTCAAGACTTGAATACTAGCACTAAGAAAAGAAAAGTTGAAATCCCTAAGCAAAAAAGAAAACAAAATTGGAAAAAAGTGTCTGATGTTTCTTTCTTTGTTTTGGCAAAATTCAACACCAAGGAAAAATATTTTTCTTTTCTTTAGTGATAGTTTTGTACAGGTAACGGTAAAAGGTGGAGAACATCTTATCACTGTGTATGTAATGTCCACAGGAAAATAATCATTGTTTGCGACATTCTTCTAGTTCCCAAAATTCGCCCAAATAATCTTAAAATATGTATTCTTTTGTTAAATATTTTTTAGATGACGAAACATAGGACACAACTATTCAGTGGATGAGCTATGGTGCAGATGGAAGAGGGATTCAAATCGGCACTGACCTCCAAAGCCTGCTGTGCCTGTACTCGTACCACCAAATCCAAACGAGGAAGTTGTTGTTGGCTTGGCAAAGAGATTGCCACCTTGACCAAAAAATCCTGGCGCTGAAGTTGTAGCTGCTCCAAATCCCGCAGGCTTGCTACCAAACAGTCCAGCCTATAAGCAAGAAAGTGAGTGAGTGAGTGAGTGAGTGAGTGAGTGAGTGAGTGAAGTTTAACACCGCTTTGAACATTATTCCAGTTGTATCATGGCACGTCAGCTTAATATGGACGAAAGCACGAAGTGACGCAGGTCTCTGATGTTAGCACCTTGGCGATACCCATGAACATGGGTATGGTGGTGACAAACCTAGAAACATAATTGTGGAGAACAAGACTTCAAACCCACTTTCATAGGTTTCTGGCACGCCCAAGGGATGCAACTCTGCACAGCGAATTGTGGCACCTCAGATTACTGGGCCAATCAGGTCGCCGCAACAAAGAAGAAACAATAACCTAAACATAGAGCTTTCCTTTCAATACAAGGAATCATAAAGCAAATGTGGGCATGTATCGCAATCTCATTGTTTGAAAAGAGTGGTCAAATCATCCATTGCAACGTACCGATGGCGCCTGCGTGCCAAAGCCTCCGGTGTTACCAAAGTTGAATGATGTTGCTGGCGCCGTGCTTGTGTTGGCACCAAACAAAGAGGACTGAGTAGTAGCCGTGCCAAACAGAGGCTGTAATTAAATCAAATAAACATCAGTATTACTAGCACCATATGCAAAGAAAGTCAAACTGGATTTTCAAATTGAGGATAAAACAAAAACAGTGTTTCCTCCTCCTGAGACACATTATGTTTTAGACTCCTCAACATCACAGTCTAACTTTGGAATGTAGGATTTGTCTAAAACAAAAACAAAATAGGAATCCAGTTAAATTCTTTGTTTAGTCCCAGTAAGTTTTTGTGTGTGTGTGTGTCTTGTTGTTTTTTAACCTTTAATCAACAATATTCCAGCTATTAGACAGGAGACTGTAAAAATGGTAAACAATCAAGTCTAGACCAGACAATCCAGTGATCAATATTGTGATTAACAAACCACACTGTCAAAGTTCAATGACACAATCAATGAAATCACGCAAGTCACGAAGTCTGAACACAGATCCATTTGGTTACCTCTTACAACCAGCATAGGTTGTAGGGGCCCTGTTATGACCCAGATTTCCTGTGGTTATAGTTCTGGATGCTTACCATTGGAATGTCTGACACAACACGTGTTTTCCCTGTATATCTTAAGCTTAAGGAAGGTTGAGTTCTGAATACCTTATTCTGTTGGTTTTGTCCAAACAACCCTGCTGCTTGATTGGTATTTCCAAATCCGAAGCCAGTGGTACTGGCAGTTGTGGTGGTACTGGCGCCACCAAACAGAGGCTTGTTCTGACCGAACATTCCACCACTAGCCTGAGGGTTGGTCTGGCCAAACAAGCCAGTGCTTGCTGTAGATGTGTTTGTACCAAAGCCTGAAACATCAAATAATGTTTTATGAGAGTATCTAATTACTTTGTTATCTGAATGTCATAACATGCATAATCAGCCATTATTCAAATGCAGCATATATCATGATCATGCAATCTTGTGATATTGTTTTTTAACGTTTTGAGTTGAGAAAAAAGATTAAAATAATTGCATGTTGACTTTTGATTTTGTTTGTAACTTTTAAAACCACAAGCAAAGATTTGCTTGTGCCTAAAAAAATTAAATTCTAACCCTGACCATACCATACCAGTGATGAGGAAAACCACAAAACAATGGTCGTTAACCAGTAACAGTTCCTGGATTAAAAACAAGACAAGGGAACAGTACCGTTTTACATCTTACAACACTACAATGTTTTAATTTCAGGCTGAGAAATAATGTGTGGCCTACTATTCTGACCGGCAAAGCCTGTTGATGCCTGCTGTTGTTGCTGTTGCTGCTGCTGCGGTTGCTGGCCGAAGGAGAAGCCAGTGCTGGACGTTGCCGGAGTAGAACCAAACAAACCACCACCGGCACCCCCAGTACCCTGCTGCTTGCCTTTCCGATTGGCCTGATAGTCTTCAAGTCTCAGCTCCTGAATCACAGAGTAGTGAAAACATTATCACACTACAAATAAATCATGGGTGGATACATCAGAATTGTCCTTTGTAGGATTTCACTGCACAGGTGTGACAATTCAATCAGTCTTCATTCAACTACCAAAACAGTTTCAAGAGCTTTAAACATGATGCATATCGCTACTGGTGCACCTGCACTGTTTGAAAGAGTTTTAAATAATGCAGTTTACACAATATTTCAGCTATATCATGGGATTTATGTTGTGTGAGGAAATGTGAAATTGACACGGGTCATTATTAAGTCCAAGTTTTAGAGTGAGTGAATATGGTTTTACGCCGCTTTTAGCAATATTCCAGCAATATCACGGCGGGGGACACCAGAAATGGGCTTCACACATTGTACCCATGTCGATATCGAACCCGGGTCTTCGGCGTGACGAGCGAACGCTTTAACCACTAGGCTACCCGACCGCCCCCAAGTTTTAGAAGAAGGGTGTATGTGATTTTACAAGCTGAATGGTCTTGCACACCCTGAGATATAAGTATTCACAACTGTACAGAATGGTTGCAGACATTGCATGACAAGGGACACACAATAATATTTATTGTACCCAATTTTTTACAAGAAATATAAAAATGTCCTGTAGGTAAAGTCACTATCAAATCTAACAGTACAAGAAACTGTTTCAATACTCTACAGGACCCTCATATTTCCTGCAGCGACCCTTGAAATTAATTATTGGAGTCCCTTGACCACTAGTCTTAAAGGTGGAAGTAAAACCATGAGTTGTCAAAAGTACCTCAAGACACTTGTTGTCATACTCCTTCATGGCTGTGATGCATTGATGTCTCGTATTGATGCTGGCGGACACCCCATTCTTCATCATTGTATCCTGGCCACTCGGAGGGTTGAACTTGACTGTAGTGCCATTGGCATTGTTAGCAAACCCTGACAAGACAAACGCAATATTGTAATATGGAGCTAAATAGGACTGAAATTTGATTTGTATACTACAGTGCAGTTTGATTTTCTGGTGTATTATATTTCCGTTAATATTATTTTTCTATTATGATAAATACCCACGACCCATTTGCTGCAATAGCTTCATTTCCAGTATGATTTCAAGAGACAACACAGACTTCAGCTTTTTCATTTAATCGGTACGATTTTGCAGCAAATTACTTTAATTCTAAAGAATTCCCCTGGAAAGAGACACTTGTAAAGTATGCATAGAACTATTATGCATTTTAATAGCAGTAAGTCCTTGCATAAGAGAGACAATTATTTCAATATGACACTTCTTCAGTCCAAAAACTTTGACGAGTAAAATTTCTCTCTCTGACAAGTAAGCCTTGCGAATATGAAGCGATAGAAACTAACAGTTTTAGTCCACTAGTACTTAAAATGATAACATATAGCAAAACCCTTAAGGGCAAATTTCTACTTGTCCATATGATACTTAACTATTGGGCAGTTTGGCAAGGATTATAGGACTAGTGACAATTTCAAATGCTAACATGTCCATATATTCATAAAATTCTACTGTACAGATCGTAAGAAGGAATAGGTACTGGCTCAACATGTGATTCAACACTCACCTGCTGCCCCAGCCTGACCAAACAACATCCCCCCTGTGTTTGCCTGGTTCTGCTGGCCAAACAATCCCCCGGCAGGAGCGGTGGAAGTCCCGAATCCTGACCAGGCAAATGGATAATGTCGATAAATTTAAAAACTTGTAAAGTGAAAACAGAAGCCTCACATTTCAGCAGACAAATTCCAACCATTGTTCAACCATCATGCATGAAAGGGTCATGTTATTAATTTTCAGATTATAATTATATTATAAATTTATAAACAGCACTTATCCGGATATCCGCACAAATTTGTTCCCCAACAAATGGATCCGTATGCATTCCAGTTATCATTTTAACTCCCTTGGCAGCATACAACCAGGACTCAAAATTAGAAAAAAAATCAGGCGTGCCCACCGGCACTGGACCTGTCTTTCAGGAATGCCATTTTCAATTTAAGTGTGCCTTGTCTTTATTACCCAATAAGAACAACAAATACCAATCATCTGCTAGGTATTTCACAACAATTAACACAAATAACCACTTCTGTTTGAATTGCAAGACACACATAATCTTTGTGAAATAAATTTCTTGCAATCTTGAACATCTTGTCAAACAGTCAATGGGAATTTACCCAATAATGTCAATTGATGTTCTAACATAAATCTTTTAGTGATAGTGGAACATGCAACTAATGGGAAAATGGGATACCATGCCGCAGTTTAACATGGATACCCCACTCAGACACAGTATACTGACTCCTAGCCGACCAGTCCTTGTTTTAGCCCCTAAATGCCGAGCGCCAGACAGGGTAACAACAAGTACCATCTTTTAACGTCTTTTGGTATGACGCGGCCGGGGATCGAACCCCGGACCTTCCGCTCTCCGGGAGGACGCTCTACCACTAGACCACAGAGGTGGTCCCTGATACAACAAAAGCTGCTACGGGCGCAAGGGGGCTTTCACATCCACCTCTCATATTGGGTCTCTGCTGATTGAGCAGAGGCACATTTGAACAAATTTACTTGCCCAGGGTGACATCACACGTTTTGACACTGGTGTTTTGGGCGCATGAACAGATTCGCGTTTCTACCAATTGGTTACCTACCAACGGATGAGTGGTTTTTTTTAGAGTGTGCAGGGTGAATGTACTGTACACTAGGGGTAGTGACAACACTGTAAAGTCCTGTAAAGATTGTTGGTCCATAGGGTGAATAAGAACCTGGTCACAAGCTTGAGATTGGTAACACTCAAGACAGACTAGTTGCTTTATTCCCACGTCTAGTTATGCATATCCACTAGTCCATATGAGCTGCAGACCAGATTGATATGACCAATGGTGTCTACCGTTGCTGAAGTGATGCAGGACGTTTCCCACTTTCGTGGAACCAGGGTTTTACCCGAAGCACAAATCTGCGTTCAGTATGCACAAATGCATAGAATGGATGCAGAAAAAATAAATACTGTGTCCCAAGGGATGCACAATAATATTTATTGTACCTACAGCCCATCAAGACCAGTTATGGGTGTCTGTTAGTTCATCCATCAATCATGACCACTGTCCACATGATCATTGATCCATTGCAGGCTCTAAGTACTGTATTTGACATAATAAGCGCCCAGGGCGCTCTCAAAATTAGAAATAGGAGGCTCTTATTAGAACATTATTTTGGTGAAAAAGAACAGAGTTGAACATGTTGAAAGATAGTAAATTTCGTGGTTTATGCTGACAGCCTAAAATGTTTATATACGACAGATATATTCCCATAATCAAGGATGCATATAACACATATTATACACGAATAAATAAGTCTTGTGTACATTGATCATTTTGGAAGTGGTGCTAACTTGGATTGTTCACTAGCCAATATATTAGCAAATATCGCTGTGGGCGCTTATTAGAGCGGGGCGCTTATTACTTCGAATACGGTAATGATCTGAACGTACTGTACACTACACCATTACATTACTTGACCGGACCCGCCTCCCATATTGCCCACAGGGACCCTTACAATCAGTTATTGGGGGTCCCCTGTACCCCTACTTTTGTATGTCATGGTAAAACCCTTTGCAACCCATGGATATGACCGATAAAATATTAATGATTATACTCAGAGCATTCTAGGTTGATAACCTAGGACTGTAGAACCATGAAACACCTTCAGCTACTTTAGCTGAAGACTCCACATTCAAAAGCATCACTTAGGGACATAAACAATAAATCTCTCTTACCACCAAATCCTGGAGTCTTTGCTCCAAAAGCTGACGTGGTTGACTGTGGTGTTGAGAACAGCCCACCTGCTGACTGAGTCTGTGTCTGTCCAAACAACCCTCCAGCCCCTCCACTTGATGTGCTGGGAGTGTTGCCAAAATCTGAAGAAAACAATGTCCCTTGGATAATGCATATCACGAAATTAGTAAGTAATATGAAACTTGGTTCTGAATGACCAAAATATATCATTAACCATTACAAATATACATGAAAAGAAAATATATCTCTTCTTAAAGTAAGTGAGTGAGGTTTAACCCTGCTTTGAACACTAAAGCATGATGACATCAAAAGTTTTACTCGGGTACGATTCCTCTGCGAGAATTTCTGAAGACACCTCCCATTGGCATGATATTAAGTCATGTGACCCCTGAACTTTAACTGCCAAGCCTAAATGGATGCGTGTGTTCTTGAACCATTCAGATGTCAGCTTCTAAAACAATTTGGCTTCAAATCTTTCCAACCTCGATACAGAAATTTCAATTTTAGCAAAGGAAACCTGCCACAGAACACAAACATACACGGATAGTACACCTTTTGGGGTGTAGATACCACTGTGCTCAGAAAAGACAGGATGTGTAAATATCCACAACAATATCAGAGTGCAGCTTTTGCAGAACTCCTTGATTATATTAGTTTATGCCGCTATATTTTATATTTATACAGCCGCTAACACATAGCAAGAATTTAGAAACATCGACACTAATTCACTTGATGCAACCTTCTATGCAGGTGTCCTCAGATCTTAATGCAGATTGAGGGGGGGGGGGCGAATTGGTGGCCCAGTTGTCTAAGGCACCGTGATTCGCCTGTGCAGAGTTGCGTCCCTTGGGCACGCCAGAAGCCTATGATTGTGAATTTGAATCCCGGTTCGCTCCGATTATGTTTCTAGGTTTCTTAGCACCATACCTGTGCTCATGGATTTCACTGAAGTGGTAAACATCTTAGATTTGCATAAATTCGGGGTTTCCTCCCACATTAAGCTGACACGCCGTGATGTAACTGTCATACTGTTAAAAGCAGTGTTAAACCCAACTCACTCACTAATGCAGAAAGATATCATATTGGAGTGAAAGGTCTGATTTTAATGAAACTGTGATGACATGCGATGCATGACAAGCATGTGACATTGGGGGCCGATTCTTAAACTGAAATCAGCATTGGGTGCATATCATCATCACTTGTTGGAAAAATACATTCATGTTATCCATTTTCGTAGTATCTCGTAACTTACTGAATCCTGTTGACTGGTTCCCAAATGTGCTTGCATTAGTCTGGCCAAACAAGCCTCCAGTACTTGTGTTGTTGTTGGCGCCAAACAAGCCTCCTGCGGCTGGCGTTGTCGAACCAAAGGCTGGCGTTCCAAATCCAGCAGCTCCAGCTGGCTTGTTCCCGAACGAGTTGTTATCTGGAACACATCATGGAACATCCAGCAGATGAGTGCAAGAGCAAGCAACAACTTATCATCATTTTAGCACATAAGATTGGTTGGTTGATTTGTTGTTTAACGCCTCACTCAGTAATATTCCAGCTAAAGGACGGTGGTCTGTAAATAATCGAAACTGGACCGGACAATCTAGTGATTAATATCATGAGCATCAATCAACGCAATTGGGATCGATGACATGCATCAACCAAGTCAGCGAGCCCGACCACCCGATCCCGTTGGTCGCCTTTTACGACAAGCATAGTCACCTTTTACGGCAAGCATGGGTTGCTGAAGACCTATTCTACCCCGGAATCTTCACGGGTCTTAGCACATAAGAAATATGAAGATGTGTTTTTTAGCCATTGTTAGCAATTTTCCTGCAATATCATGGCAGGGGACAACAGAAATAGGCTTCACACATTGTACCCAATTTAACATGATACATGCTTTCAACTCCTACACTTCATATTTTCACTCATCAAGAGGTAAGATTGATTGATTAGCTGCAGTCTGTGCCAAAAACATTTGAGTCTCCTAGCCCCAATATATCTCTTTACATCATTTTTTCAGTCGATTTTACTGTTAAATCTGTACTATCTGTACTATCATCAGCTGAGCTTACTAGACCAAACAAAATTTTACTAGACACGGACTTTGGACTAGTGGCTAAAGTCACAGGGTGCAGCATGTCAATGTTGTCGATGACCACATAGTTAATGGGTCAGGCTATGACAAACATAAACATACAAAATCATTCTATCTTTTCAAACAAACTTTTGAAAGAGACTAAGAAAATCCCTTACTTTGTCCAAATGGTGTCGAACTTCCAAATGTGGCTGCAAAAGAAAAGAATGACTTATAAATTTAATGTCTTATAAATGACAACACAATTAATGGAACAGGAACACAAATCACTTACCAATGGACACTGAATGCAACTGTGTGGGACACATTAAAAACATTTAGATGTTTCACAACACTATGTATATTTACTGCATGTCTGCTTGTTGCCACACTCAACAATATTCCTGCTATAAGGTGGCGTCCAGTAAATACTTAAATCTGGTCAAGACAATCCAGTGATTGATATTATGAGCAACTATGACATGCAAATCAACCAAGTCACCTAGCCTGACATCTGATCTACTTAGTCCCCTCTTAGTCTTACAACCAGCATAGGTTGCTGGGAACACGGTCTTACTCTAACATCAACAAGGAATCCCAAAATAGGTATAATAATTGAACAACATCCAAGGTTTGAAATCATTACATTTGCTTGTTGTTATTTAACACCGCACTCAGCAATATTCCAGCTATATGACGGCGGTCTGTAAATAATCCGAGTCTGGACCAGACAATCCAGTGATTTACATCGATCCACGCAATTGGGATACGATGACATGCATCAAACAAGTCAGCAAGCCTGACCACCCGATCCCGTTAGCCGCCTCTTACGACAAGCATGGTCACCTTTTAGGGCAAGCATGGATTGCTGAAGATCTATTCTACCCCCGATATTGACGGGTCATATCATTACAATATATACAGGCATGCAAACAATATTATAATACGGGAACAGCTTGGGATACTTGTTTCACCATTTTCACTACAGGGTATTTGAACACACCAAACTGCAAATAGTGTTATCCTCAATGAATACTCACAAGATGTGCCACCGCCAAATCCAGCTCCAAACCCCATTGGCTTTTGTCCAAACATCACTGTATTACCAACAAAGTGTAATGGTTATTCTGAAAATATAAACAAATATATAAAAAATATGCAAAGATGATCCAAGTGAGTGAGTGAGTGAGTGAGTGAGTGAGTGAGTGAGTGAGTGAGTGTGGTTTTACACCGCTTTTAGCAATATTCCAGCAATATCACGGCAGGGGACACAAGAAATGGGCTTCACACATTGTACCCATGTCGGGAATCGAACCCGGGTCTTCGGTGTGACGAGCGATCGCTTTAACCACTAGGCTGCCCGACCACCCCTAGATGATCCAGGCCAGGAATCAATAATAATTACCCATAGTTATCAACTTTTTGGATAACTGTCAGTTCAAAATAAACAAATCTGATAAATATTACAGAACATATGGCAATGTATTAAGTCAATCCCATCCTGTTGATCAATAGGGTTGGCATTGGCACAGATCGTATTGCAATATACGCAATATGGAGACCTGTACTGAGATATATTTTGCAATAAGTTTTGGGGCCGAAATTATAAATACTTGTACTGTTCAAATGGTACTTCTTCCTATAATAATCCAGACTTCGGATTGCGTGATGAATAGCATGAAAAAACAAGACTAACTATTACGTCATTAATATCGAATGTTAATGTAAACAGTGTGAAGCGTGTGCTGTTTACATGGTTTAGATAGGAATTCAGTCCATCCAAATGCCTCATGATAGTAGATATAATTTATAGAAGTTATATATAAAATTCTTCTTTAACTGTTTCATAAAATATTGATATGCGAGGGTTGTACAGCGATATACTAGCATTAGGGCTGGGATGAGTCCAATTTTACTACCCGGGTACCCACACCCCTATTACCCGACCCTACCCGGGTACCCGCTGTTGGTGTCAAGAGATAGGTACAAAATGTCAGATTGGGAATAGTTTGACAGTAGCCCTGGCAGAATGTATTTAGATACACGTATAAAACGATGTGGTCATGCATACACTGAAGTTGACTGACGTTTCAGCTTTGTTCAAACATATATAAGTCAGAAGGAAGGCGTTCACAGTCATGAAGAAATGCGAACATTAGAGACTTTAAATTGTCGTGTCACCATGTAGTTATATTGTGAATTTTTGTCATGAAACAATATATCACGTGACTAACCACGGGTCCGGGTAGTCCTGTGGATACCCGGGTCCTACTCAGTACCTACCCGACCCGAGTACCCGAGTTACCCGTCCCAGCCCTAACTAGCATACCCGTTAAATTGCATACCCCTACTGATGAATGTGGAATGTCGATTCTGGAGTGTATCAGGTTAGGACATTCTGGTATCTCTAGTTAAGCGCAGTGATTGGCAAAGATTTACTTTTTTTAACAGTAGGTTGAGCCATAACATAAGAATCACATCATGAGAACGCATAGACATGGTTCCCGTCTTCAGAGGCACTCGACAGAAGCTGTTGAAAATGAAAGCCAGTAGGCTTGTATGCAGCATTTAAGGAGAACCTGATCTAGAGGATGTGTATTTATACAAAAAGATATATGTACATTGGGCTTCATATATGAGCATGTTATTTGGTTTGAAAATTAATTGTTAAATAGTAATAAATACTAATATCTGATTGTCTATGCATGAGGTAGTAAACCATAGTTTCACTGACTCAAGATTAATAAATAAGTAATGTTTGGTTTGGAAACTTGAGTCTTCATGTATTTTATCACAATCTTTTCTTTCTGTATGACAGTAATAATGACTATAAACACATGGCAGTACAAAATTAGAGACTAAGACATCTCATTTAAAAATATTTGTTGCATATCATGTATATCATCATGATCATGCATATTATTACATATTTTTACATACTAACCTATGACTTGAGTACATACATCAGCGGAGATTACTTTATTTTTCAAATGCTTATCCTATTTGTCAAGAATTCACCAGGTTAGATATATATATAAAAGGCAGTGATAATTCTAGGGTGGGGCCTTGTGCTTTTAGCCCCTAAATTTGAAAAAAACAACACATTTTTAAATACAATGGGGCATTTTAACATTTTGCTGTATGGGCGTACCTCTGTAATATTTGAAATTTTCACATAAAGGGCCCATGTCAGAAAATTCCTAGAGTGAACCCTGAATAAGTATAAGTATGAAAATGACAATATTTTAAATTTAACTTATTTTTTAGATGCAGGTATTGTCTAGATGCTAACTTATTAAGTTGCACACCCTCTTGTACTGCTGTTCTTTTAGTTTGCACAAAGTGAACATATCAGCCTGTATGTGGGCGAAAAATATAATAGGCCTATATTCAATACAGCATGGGGATATTGTTTCCATATTGGCATAATAATTGACAATGTTGCACACCCAACAATAGGAGAAAAACTCTACTCTGACAATTAAAACTCATATGTTTACATACTTAAATAACATCGTCATGCACCGATAGTGTGTGAAACGTTGGCTACGCCGACTGAGATATGATACTTCGAATGATGTATTTATTTAGCCTGATGTGTGATACTCCAAGACCTGTCCACTCCGCCTGATTCAATATTGACCTGCCTTCGGAAGAAATTGTCGTTGGAAGTCAACAGCAGTATCTTAAGCCCCAATTCACTGAATTCGGGGTATAAGTCATAGTCGATCATTGAGTAAACCAGGAAAGGGATCTCGATCGGGTCTCGCCTGAGACCGGCTAACTGAAGGCATGCTGATATATAGGCCTTCAACTCATTTTCTGCTAGTATATCATGATAGGTAATGAAATAAAACGTACACTGGTTGATACATTAAACATAAAACCACACTGAAACTCTCAAAGCCGAAAGTGTCTTGAGTGTAAACAGAAAGTAGACACGAATGTGGAAACGAAATCACACTTCAATTTCAAATAATCACAACGGCACCGACATTTCAAAATCCAAGAAACATGCCATCCCTCACCTTGTGTATGCCTTGATCATATAATTTTCAGATTGTTTATTTCAAGGGTTCTTATAGAGTTGCTATGTTGTCATAATGCAACCCGATTCAGCTGCACAAATCTAGTTCAAGGCAGGCTAACCCACAATGGCGCCTAAAATAAAAATGGCGTCACGCACGTTTGGGGATCCCCAATGGCGTCAGGGTAACCTAAAAATAGATTGACCTAGAATCTACATCATTACAACTACTTACAAATAAAAGCGCAATTGCAGCAGTACCCGTTTGTAATTATTTTAAACCAAAAATGTACTTTCCAAGGCTCAGAAGGGGTGAAATGCTACATAGAAACGTATATGATAATTAGCTGCCAACCTATCTTTTAGATATAGATATAGAACATACGCTTGTTAACGTTTCATCACAAACAACATGCCTTGTCCACATGACAACGTTGAGAAATAAACAGCAGTTGGCATCAAGCAAGACATGTGTTTATTCAGCGTTAAAATGGAACTGCGACGCTGCTTATTTAGGACTGCACAATAACTCATCATCTCGCTAGGAGATTTTATGATTATCCCGTGATAATACTGATATGGGGAGCGGGTCAAAACGGCTTCATGTCAGAACGTCTTTAAAAGGTAAAGTCAAAATGGCCGCAAGCCATAGTCAAAACGGCCCCCAAAAAGTCATAACGGCAACAACAAGACGTGCACGTCGCTATTATAATCTCGAAGATCTTGATCAACTCACCTCACATACAAGAAGGGATACTGTCGCCCTCATAAAACCAAGCAAAAGAAAGACAAAATTCACCAAAGCGCGACATTTTGACCAATTCTTTTCATTTTTGACCTATCATAAATGTGTAAAAGTGTTAAAATGTCACGCGTTGGTTAATTTGATCAGTTAATGCTTTGTTTTGTAAAGATAACGCGACAGTTCTCTTCTAGGGTTCCGTAGGTAAGACTGTTCTGATCATCTTCATCACTACGGGGGCGGTCGCGTAGCCTAGTGGTTAAAGCGTTCGCTCGTCACGCCGAAGACCCGGGTTCGATTCCCGACATGGGTACAATGTGTGAAGCCCATTCTTATGGTTTCCTGCTGGGCAGCCGCGAAATAGGGTCTTGATGTTTCACGTTATCCTACATGGTTTTGATAAACGAGATATATATTATCAAAGTAACTACCTTGTAGCCTTTCTTAATCCATGTAAACATGTTGTTTTCTGATTATTATTTACGTTTTAATCAACATCAGAGGTAACCAAGATGTTCGGGCATGAAAACAATTTAGGCGACAGAGAACCGTTTACACATATATACATGCTATTAGTTGATAGACAAATAGTACCGAGGAATCCCCCACTGCTAGGGAGACTTGAAGAGAAATGTTTCAGACATTATTTTAAAATGTATACCGCACAAGTAGCTGTATAACATGATATTTACCTTTTCAATACCTAATATATATTTTCTTAGGATCTGATATACAAAAAAATCATTCAATGAACCAGAAAAACCCATATATCAATTAACACAATACACTTATGAAAATAACAAATTCTCCCTTAGTTATTTTTAGTAACACCTCATGGGAGTGTACATTTAATCATTCTCAAAATTGGATTAATTACAACAGGAAGTTTTTAAATAAAATGTATTCAAAAGTCAGTCGTATGTCCATATATAAACATATATTCAACCCAATCATAAATTAATTATACATTTAGGACCATTAAATGTTCATCTTGATCGAAAAACGGAGCTGTCCCTGAGGAACGGCCATCTAGCGGTGGAAATTACAAACAAGGACGAGAACGACGCCTTCTCCGGGATATAAGTCGATGACAGGGTGGAAACGTTCATCAAAATTTGTCAACCGCCGAGAATCCTTCTCCCAATTACAAATACAGTCTAAATGGTAAATTTTGATGAATGTTTTCCTTAATTAATGTTGCCGTGTGTCAATGCCCGTCTGATAGATCGCGTGAAGTCGCTGACACGCCCCCTTTTTGTTGACGTTTATGCATCGCTGTTTATTGACAGTATCAGCTGATGATATCATTGTTGTGAAATGTTATGAATGTTGTTTTATTCGTTTTGGTGTTTCCCCCGATTGGTATAAACTACAAATCTAGCTTAGGCTATTTATGGCCTCATTTGTCAACTCATTCAAATGGGAACCAAAACGAACTGGATTTGACAGCTCCAGTACAGTATGACAATTGTCAAAGACCTCATATTGATTTTAACGATTTTCACGTTTTCTGTGACTTGTAAATGACTCTGCTTATACCCGTGAACCTAATTATACCCTTTAGATGTTAATATTTAATGGCAGAATTTAATTAGTGTGTAGATATGTCAATACATATCTTCCGATCGCATGTCTGCCTATTTAGAACAGTTTTGATAAATGATTTGTGGTAGTATTAATGCTTCCTCCTTAATGAACAATAACTGAATTTGATATGAATTTATAAACCTAAAGTGACGTCATCCTAATATTCGTAAAGTTTCTCCAAATAGCAGAAAGCAAGAATGCATAACCTGTTGCTTGTATCCATGCCCAGAGGATTCAAAGACAATGCCTTCGGGAATCAGGGAGATTGCCCTTGACTTTCCTACTTAAATGAAGCGTGTTTCATCACCAAAGATTTATGCAATTCCTTTTAATATGTATCTGATATAGATTTTTGACTGGTTTAAAGTCACAATTTTTTTGCATGAAAATTACATGATGTGATCTGAACCTGCAACCTCATATATCATGTTTAGTATTGTAACCCACTGTTTTCCACTGAGCCACTGGGACAGGCGATGACATATGGGTGTTCATTCTTACATGTCATGACTTCAGTTGTCTGCATGCTGCACATGGGTTTCTCTCCCCGTTCTACGTATTCGTTTTATACCACGACAACTGTATTGTTTCACTATAAGGTATCCTAGTGTTTTTTGTTCTTCCTGGTTAAAGTAAGTAACAACACTTGCTTGAGGTTTTATGTTTTCAACCCAAACCTCAGAGTCATGTTGTAACTATGACATCCCTAAGTGGTTGGTTATACCTGGTAAGTCACAGATGTATAATGCATTATACTTCTGTGGGTATATTAAGCATTTAGTACATGGCAAGAGCGTCCACTAGCCTTTTTATCAAAGTCTTGTTTCCACATTTGCCACATCAAGCCCACTTTCCTGTGCTAAATAGGATTGGACTATCGCACATATCGATAGTCCGATCAGAGAACGTTTCACAAAATCAACATCCACGACTAGTACACCTTCGTATGAAAGTGATTTACCACTGCCTGTCTTTGTTGACACGAATATGTCTTTTTCATCTTTTAAACCCCAAACCATTGTCTATGTTTTTGTGTCAGGGATGATATCGGGAATGTTTTCATTATCTGATCGAAAAGGTCATTGCCTTTTGGTTGTCACCAAAAGTTTGTGAAGCTCTTCGAGATAAGAGTGAGTGAGTGAGTTGGGTTTAACGCCGCTTTTAACAGTATTCCAGTTATATCGCGGCGTGTCAGCTTAATTTTGGGGGAAAGCCCGAAGTGATGCGGGTCTCAGACGTTTACCACTTCTGTGAAACCCACGAGCACGGGTATGGTGCTGACAAACCTAGAAACATAATCGGGGCGAATCGGGATTCGAACCCACAATCATAGGTTTCTGGAGTGCCCAAGGGACGCAACTCTGCACAGCGAATTGCGGCGCCTTAGACGACTGGGCCACCCGTGCCCACCCTTCGAGATAAGAACAGCGATCTGATTGGATATTGTGTTTTCCTTACAAGGGGCACAACTCGTGATCTACGCAAGGTGGCGCCAGGGTCGAGCCAAGAAAAGTGGCCTTGATGTGGCAAGGGTAGAAACTAGGCTTTGATGTAGGCTTGTGGACACGCTTGCCTTGGGAAAATGATTGCATGGATGCATCTTAGTGTATGTGTTTATTATAGGGGCTAATTGTACAGCTCTACTTTACTATGCATTATTAATTGACACTTAGCTACAAATTCCTCATACAGAACATGATATTGACTTTGCATCAGCCTTCTCAAATGTTGTTAAAGTGCACACTGAACATTATATGACAGCCATTTTTATATCCTCCAATTTCCCAAACCAAATATTTTTTAATACTAGAGGCGCAAGGTATTAGTGGTATACTGGTATACCAGTACTCCTAGATTTTATATACTAATGAATATGTAGTACAATATGTTTCGACAATACCGGTATAGAGAGACTATTTCATGCTGTTTGTCAAATACATTGTACCATATTCGTCATAATAAGCGCTCCGCTCTGATAAGCACCCACGGCGATATTTGCTAATATATTGGCAAGTGAACAATCCCAGTTAGCACCCCTTTTGATTGATCAATGTACACAAGACTTATTTATTCGCATATAATACACACACGTGTGTTATATACACCCTTAATTATGGGCAAGTAAATTCTGGAAAAAATATATCTGTCGTATATAAACATTTCAGGCAGTCAGCATAAACCACAAAATTTATGTTTCAACTCTGTTTTTTTCACCAAAATAATATTCTAATAAGAGCCCCCTATTTCTAATTTTGAGAGCGCCCTGGGCACTTATTACGTTGAATACGTATCTCATTATGTGAAGTTTGAAAACCATATTTTTACGATTTGCGAAACAACAAGTGAAAAGATGGTTTTCAGACTTCATGAGATGAGATATATCGTATTCGACGTAATAAGCGCCCCGCTCTAATAAGCGCCCACGGCGATATTTGCTAAAATATTGGCAAGTGAACAATCCCAATTAGCACCCCTTCTGATTGATCAAAGTACACAAGACTTATTTATTCGTGTATAATACGCACTCATGTGTTATATGCACCTTAATTATGGGCAATTAAATTCTGGAATCAGCATAAACCACGAAATTTATCTTTCAACTCTGTTTGTTCCACCAAAATAATATTCCAATAAGAGCCCCCTATTTCTAATTTTGAGAGCGCCCTGGGCGCCTATTACGTCAAATATGGTACATCATATTTGACAAAAAGCATAAAATAGTATATTTATTATATATATTTTGATGCTAAAATGCCCCCTTTCAGAAGATTGGTCAACAGCTGGTCAAGTCACATTCTCAGTCACTACAGTGATAGATAGCGTGTGCATAAATAGTTCCTCATTAATACTTAAAGGGGCACTGATCTACAGCAATTCCCTGGGACTGGTTGTTGCCTTTGCTATTGTTTTTTCCCCGTGAGTAGCCGGATGATATAGCAGAAATCTGGACAAGTTCGCGATCTGTGCTGCACCATTCGTAAGCGCATGTGTCGCTTTTATTGATAGTATAAGGGCGTATGGTCACATTGATCAACAAGGTGAAATACAGGTTAGTCTTGAAAATAATAAGGAAATGTAGGTATCTTTTGGGGTAGAGGTTTAGATAAGTCACTTGCTGTTTTTTTTTGCGAATTTTGTTTACACTATTTTGACTTGCAACACAAAGTAAATATTTCACCTGAGCATTGCTTATTTTATCGTGTGTATATTTTATAGTCAAAATGTGTAAAATTTTGAATTTATTAAACGCCTAAATATTCAGTTATTTTACAAACTGGCTGAAAAATATGTCCATTTATATCATTATGAAATGTTTGATAGGCATTACTTAGAAGTTGACGGATGAAAAGGTAGACACAATGTTATGGATAACAACTTCTTTAATACTGTAAAAAAGCAACGTTTCGGTATAGATCCTGATACCGTTGTCAAGCAAGACTAAGGATCTATACTGAAACATCGCCTTTTCTCAGTATTAAAGAAGTTATTATCCATAAAATTGTGTCTACCTTATATCATTATGATAACAAATTCCAAACATTTTTATGCTTAATTTCATCAGCCAGAGACTGAAAATGTGAAGATTTAAAGAAAATGAAGGGCTATATCATAATTTCTATATTATTTGGCTTCTAATCCTTGCATAATTAGTCTGTTGTGATGTTTTTAATCCCTTTTGAACATCTTAATCCTTTTTGAAGATCTAAAAGATGGTACTTGTTGTTACCCTGCCTAGCACTCGACATTAATGGGCAGACAGACAGACAGACAGACAAATAATCTTGAGTGTGACATTGAACCCCTTTTCACTTCACCTTATAAAAACACGATATTGATAAAAAAAACCTTGTAGATTTTCAAAATTTGTGTTTATTGTTGTCTTGCTTGTTTTCATCTGCAGGATGATTCCACAAACAACTTAATGAACGGGTCAGACACGGGTAGCTCTGCGGATTCCACACCAACAAAACATGCTCCATTTTCTCCACGTTATACTGTTCAAGTGACGGACGCTGTGAAAGATGGCGACGCGATACAGTTTACTGTTATGTCATCCAAGTGTGACTCGGAGAAGGGCTTTGTTGTGACCCGGGTATACGAGGATATCGAGTGGCTGCATCATTGTGTGTTGACCCAGAATGAAACAGATGGAATTATTGTGAGTAAAAAAACTTCATTGCAGAATGTTCAGGCCCGATTAAGAACACTTCAAAATTACTGAATCTTTACAATTTAATTTCTTGTTGATCCAGGGCAATATAATTTGTTTTTGAAAAAGGAAATGCTGTGTTTGATTAAAAATATGTTTTTTTCACATCTTTTTTTTTTAAAACATGTTTTTCAGAGATGTTTGTTTACAAAACTACCAAAGGATTTATCAAGGATTCCAAACTATATATTGCCCTTTACAGACAAACTGGGAAAAAGTTGTAATTTTGTTCAGAATTGGGATATTTTTCCATAATTATTCAAATTCAGGGGTATTATAATTTTTCATTCAGTGTAAAACCATAAAACAGAGCAAACGTCCTTGTGCTTTAACTATAATAGTTCAGGTCAAAGCTTTATGACACTACACATGGGGATAGAGCAAGCTTTATTTCTTAATTTGGATATTTTTACTGACATTTGCATCAGACTGAATATCGGCATCTGGGCAGGTCTAGATGAATTCCTGAATCCTGAAAACATTTTTCTGTTTTTTACTAATGCCTCTTTGTAAATTTTCCCATTAAAAAACTTTGTCTGGTCTGATATATATTCCTGTTTTCTCACTCTAAAATATTGCTTTGTGAAGTTACACAGTGTGAAATGTAGTATTTAAACTTATCCTATCTCACACAAATAATTTTTTCCTTCTTCTTTCACTTCTATGTGGAAACGTGGGTCCAGTGCACGGGATTATAGTGTTCAACCTATTGGTTTATGTCGCAACCATAGTGATGCTGGGATGTGTTTGGGTGAATTGTTTTTTAGAAGCTGGAAACTTTGTTCAATCACATTTCCACAAAGGAACGAAAGAAGAAGGAAGAAATGCATAGTGTGAGGTAGGATAAGTATGTGTACAATTTATTGTAAAATTTGCAATATTCTATCATCTATATTCAGTTTTTCTCCAAATTAGGCTAGGCATGTATGATCAGCTGCACCGAAGTGTTACGTTTAGGGTTATTATTATTTTAAATATATTTAGTAAAAGCTGCAACTAAAATAACATGGTATTGGAATATATTATTCCTGATAAAAAAATAGTTTCAGATACAATTTTTCCTGATCCTTTCATCAAAATCCTTTACAGTTATATCATTGGGTAGGTTTTAACCGAATCACCAGTAGATTCCAAGAAAACGTGTGTACAGCTGATTGCTGTTTCTGGCTTAGTTTACGAGAAAATACACAAGGTAATCTTAATCCCTGCCTGTAAAACAATGCCTAGCAGACCAAAAAAAACCATTTAAACCGTAAATCAACATGTCCGGTGATTTTTTATCACCAAGTATATAATATATAATATATAAATTTCAAAATTTGTACTGATCAAGTTTCTTATCACCTGTTCGTTTACCGGCATTTGCTGAAGGGGTATGGTGTAATTCTTTTCTGTGTAATATTCGAAAACAAATTTTCCCCAAATACTGAATCCACTAGGTGGGATGCGTATTATACTTTGGTGTGCACTATACTCAAGAAAATACAGTATATGGAATCTGTTACTTGTAAAAATATTGCCCTCTGAATAGATTCCGCCCCCTCCAAACCGGCCGGAGATGGATCCACGCAGTGCAGAAAACAAGTCAAAGAAACAGCTTGGAAACGACACAAAGATTCTCAAAGGAGATGAATTTCATAAGGATTGTCGGGCAATGGAGAAGTAAGTGTCACACATGCTGACCTTGTGATTTCTGTCTTTCTCCATACCCTTGAATAGATCAGGGTTCAACAGGTTTCCTAGTCGTCCAGCTTGTCTTGTCTTGTGATATTGAAAACCACTGCCTAGTAGTGTTGTCTAGACCGCTGTCTATTGGTGTGTCCTTTGTACGTTCCAGGATCCATGAATAGAGGATTTAAATTCCAGATTCCCACACATAATGATCTTAGGTTTGTCAGTACTACTCTTTGCCTATTCTACCCCGGGTCTTCACAGGTCCCACATGAGCTGACATTTGTGATGTAATTGAAATACTGTTCATAGCAGAATTAAACCAAACCTACTCATCAAACATTGTGCATACTAAATACTGTACATTTAGCTCTCCTCAAACATTGTACACATCAAATACTGTACATTAAGCTGCCATTGACATTTGTGATGTAATTGAAATACTGTTCATAGCAGAATTAAACCAAACCTACTCATCAAATATTGTGCATACCAAATACTGTACATTTAGCTCTCCTCAAACATTGTACACATCAAATACTGTTCATTCAGCTGCCATCAAACATTGTACATACCAAATACTGTACATTCAGCTGTCATCAAACATTGTACATATCAAATACTGTACATTCAGCTGGCATCAAACATTGTACATACCAAATACTGTACATTCAGCTGTCATCAAACATTGTACACATCAAATACTGTACATTCAGCTGCCATCAAACATTGTACATACCAAATACTGTATATTCAGATGGCATCAAAAGCTCTTACCCACATTAAGCAGCTTGCCAAAATACTTTGATGCTGACGTCTACTGTTTTTAATGTTGTCAATGGAAAATATCAAACATGTAAAGTTGTTTCAAGATCAAAATATCTTCCATTAACTTACCAGACTTTTACTGGGACTTGCCAAACTTTTACCGGGACTTGCCAGGTCTTACCAGACATTGACTGAGACTTACCAGACAGTAACTGGTACTTGCCAGGACTTACCAGATATTGACTGAGACTTACCAGACATTGACTGAGACTTACCAGACATTTACTGGGACTTGCCAGGATTTACCAGACATTGACTGAGACTTACCAGACATTTACTGGGACTTGCCAGGACTTAGCAGACATTGACTAAGACTTACCAGACATTGACTGAGACTTACCAGACATTGACTGGGACTTGCCAGGACTTAAAGGACGATATGATGATATTTGGTTGAGTGCACATGAGTGCACATACGGTTATTATGAACTCGGTTGTTTCTAACACTATGATTTACTGCTCAAAGTTTGCAGCGTGTGTTTATTCTATTTCAGGTACTTACAGCTCATGCTGCAACATGAAGTGTTTGGAGGTGATGCCAATTTAGAAAAATTCCTCACAGAAAAGGAGGTTCGTATTGACTTTTGTTTGAAGGTTTTACAATCTCATTAAAATCAGATCTAGGTTCTCGCTGCCACTAAACAAAGATCTTAGGACATCCCATTACTAGTTACGTCAGAACAACCTTTGAGCGACCACTGAAATGACTAACAAGAAATCAACATCAGCCAATTAGAAAGCAGGTTTCTCGAGCTTTACGGCACTAGTTTCCACCTCTTCCTTACTTCAAACTACGCTTGAAAACTATGTTGACACAGTTCTCGATTAAAATTTTGAAAACTGAACAAACGAACATTTCAGAATGTCTAATATATGGTTGATATTGTATGGCAGTGCTTCCCACGTACTGTGCAATGCCTCCTCCGTTTATCCCATGGAAGTGAGAGATAGGCGATAATTTTGATGGAATCAGTCGTACAGGTCGTAACTGTCGTTCGGAATACACGTTTTCACGTTTTCGAGGTTGCATGATAAGAAAACACTTTCCGACTGTCACCTTTATGACCTTGTCAGCGAAGCTCTGATTGGTAAGATGAAAGGTCGTTCTGACCTGACCCCTAATGGGATGTCCTCAGATCTTTGTTTAGGGATAGCGAGAACTAAGATGTGATTTTATTGAGATTGAAGGTTTTTGAAGCAGATACTTTTCGTCACATGTTCAACTAATCGTTCACATCTGGAATTCTGATTTGTGTACAAACATGGCCGCCATAGCATCCATATTGAAAATTTCACATCTGCCCAGTGTTCAAACATTTTTTGTATCGTTATAACGATCCTCATCGTCACAGCATTCACAGTCAAAGATGCACACTCTTTTTACTAGCAGGCTAAAGAATTAACTTGATATCACATTTCATTTCTTGTTAAAATAGGTCCCCAACAACCTATGCTGGTTGTAAAAGGCTTAAGGGATTGGTGTATGCTCAGTGACTTAGTTGATAGCATGTCATCAATGACAAGGATTATTGCTCATGACATCAGTCACTGCATTGTCTGGTCCAGACTTGATTATTTTCAGGCTGCCATCATATTGCTGGAATATTGCTTAGCATGATGTTAAACAAAAGACAACAAAATAAATGTTTCTGTAAGCAACAGTGCCATTTTCTATTTTTGACATAAATGTATAGTTTAATGTTTGTTTAAGGTGTACAATATTTTCCCAATTCTCTTTAGCCTGCAAAGGTGAGAGCATTTATAAATACCTTAGGGGCGGTTGGGTAGCCTAGTGGTTAAAGTGTTGGCTCATCACGCCGAAGATCTGGGTTCGATTCCCGACACGGGTACAATGTGTGAAGCCCATTTCTGGTGTCCCCCGCCGTGATATTGCTGGAATATTGCTAAAAGCGGCGTAAAATCAAACTCACTCACTCACTCACTATAAATACCTTAATTTTGAGTTGTTCAACCTTCTTTTCAAAATCATTTCTTGCATTATTTATCATCATTTGTTTCAGCCCCCTGTTCGTGTGAAGGTCAAGAAGGGTTTGTTTGGCAAACTGTCCTCAGCAGTAGACGGGGCAAGAAAAGGGGGACATCGAGTGAGTCAATGGTCTTGAATGAGTGAGTGAAGGAATGAGTGAGTGAAGGAATAAGTGAGTGAAGGAATAAGTGAGTGGGTGAAGGAATGAGTGACAGTGAAGGAATGAGTGACAGTGAAGGAATGAGTGAAAGTGAAGGAATGAGTGACAATGAAGGATGAGTGACAGTGAAGGAATGAGTGACAGTGAAGGAATGAGTGACAGTAAAGGAATAAGTGAGTGGGTGAAGGAATGAGTGACAGTGAAGGAATGAGTGACAATGAAGGATGTGACAGTGAAGGAATGAGTGACAGTGAAGGAATGAGTGATAGAGTGAAGGAATGAGTGATAGAGTGAAGGAATGAGTGACAGTGAAGGAATGAGTGATAGAGTGAAGGAATGAGTGATAGAGTGAAGGAATGAGTGACAGTGAAGGAATGAGTGAAAGAGTGAAGGAATGAGTGATAGAGTGAAGGAATGAGTGACAGTGAAGGAATGAGTGATAGAGTGAAGGAATGAGTGACAGTGAAGGAATGAGTGATAGAGTGAAGGAATGAGTGACAGTGAAGGAATGAGTGATAGAGTGAAGGAATGAGTGATAGAGTGAAGGAATGAGTGACAGTGAAGGAATGAGTGACAATGAAGGATGTGACAGTGAAGGAATGAGTGACAATGAAGGATGTGACAGTGAAGGAATGAGTGACAGTGAAGGATGTGACAGTGAAGGATGTGACAGTGAAGGAATGAGTGACAATGAAGGATGTGACAGTGAAGGAATGAGTGACAATGAAGGATGTGACAGTGAAGGAATGAGTGACAGTGAAGGATGTGACAGTGAAGGAATGAGTGACAATGAAGGATGTGACAGTGAAGGAATGAGTGACAGTGAAGGATGTGACAGTGAAGGAATGAGTGACAGTGAAGGATGTGACAGTGAAGGAATGAGTGACAATGAAGGAATGAGTGACAGTGAAGGAATGAGTGACAGTGAAGGATGAGTGACTGAAGGACTGAGTGAGTGGGTGAGGGAAAGAGTGAGTGAAGGAATGAGTGACAGTTGATGAATGGGTGACAGTGAAGGAATGAGTGACAGTGAAGGATGGGTGACAATGAAGGATGAGTGACAGTGAAGGATGGGTGACAATGAAGGATGAGTGACAGTGAAGGATGGGTGACAGTGAAGGATGAGTGACAGTGAAGGATGAGTGACAGTGAAGGAATGAGTGACAGTGAAGGAATGAGTGACAGTGAAGGATGGGTGACAGTGAAGGTATGGGTGACAGTGAAGGAATGGGTGACAGTTGAGGAATGAGTGAGTGAAGGAATGAGTGACAGTGAAGGAATGAGAGAGAAGGAATGAGTGACAGTTGAGGAATGAGTGAGCGAAGGAATGAGTGACAGTTAAGAAATGAGTGAGCGAAGGAATGAGTGACAGTGAAGGAATGAGAGAGAAGGAATGAGTGACAGTGAAGGAATGAGAGAGAAGGAATGAGTGACAGTGAAGGAATGAGAGAGAAGGAATGAGTGACAGTTAAGAAATGAGTGAGCGAAGGAATGAGTGACAGTGAAGGAATGAGAGAGAAGGAATGAGTGACAGTTAAGAAATGAGTGAGCGAAGGAATGAGTGACAGTGAAGGAATGAGAGAGAAGGAATGAGTGACAGTGAAGGAATGAGAGAAGGAATGAGTGACAGTTAAGAAATGAGTGAGCGAAGGAATGAGTGACAGTGAAGGAATGAGAGAGAAGGAATGAGTGATATTGAAGGAATGAGAGAGAAGGAATGAGAGAGAAGGAAATACATGGAGTGTAGTTGTGTAAATCGGACGTTTAATTCCCCTCCCTGCATGAATGATGAATGGATGATGAGGCTTCGGCCATCCAGTCAATGTATCACCCAAAAGCTTTGTGCTTGTCTTGCAGGACATCGATGAATACTTCCACAACAAGCGAGAGTGGGCAACAAAGTGGTCACAGGCAATAAAGGAGTCGTCCATTGTATGTACATATATTTTATATCTTGCTATGAACTAATGGACCAAGTCGTCCATTGTATGTACATATATATTATATCTTGCTATGAACTAATGGACCAAGTCGTCCATTGCATGTACATATATATTATATCTTGCTATGATCTAATGGACCAAGTCGTCCATTGTATGTACATATATATTATATCTTGCTATGATCTAATGGACCAAGTCGTCCATTGTATGTACATATATATTATATCTTGCTATGAACTAATGGACCGAGTCGTCCATTGTATGTACATATATATTATATCTTGCTATGAACTAATGGACCAAGTCGTCCATTGTATGTACATATATTTTATATCTTGCTATGAACTAATGGACCAAGTCGTCCATTGTATGTACATATATTTTATATCTTGCTATGAACTAATGGACCAAGTCGTCCATTGTATGTACATATATATTATATCTTGCTATGAACTAATGAGTTGATACAGTGATTATGAATAGCAGAGCTACAGATAAGCGGTTTATTTACCTAAAATACCCCCCAAAATATTCAAAACTCAATTACTTTCAATTAACTTGCATACAGAAACGCATGCACTGAAAGAAAAACTCAAATGTATAAAAACAACTCACATAGATACCCAATGAAGCTTTTTCAGCATGTGAACAAAAGAGCTAATTTCCGAAACTCAATTACGAGCTAATTTACTGTCCGAGTCAAGCCTATATATTTAGAACAGTTATCATGGTTATATACATCTAAAACATTATTTCATTTTTTATATATCTGAAAATGGTCACTCTTTTGGGGAAAAACTCAAAAGAGTTATGAATAGATGAGTGAAAAAATATTGGTAACCCAATGAAAAATGTAATAACCCAATTAAAATTAGAAACACAAGAGTAAAAACTCAATTGTTCAAAAAGTTATCTGGAGCTCTGGAATGGAGATTACATTGTGGGTGTATCATTTGATAACTCATTATGACTCTAACTGTTTCTTCATTGCAGAACTTTAACAAGATTGTATGTGCCCAATACAGTAAGTATGGATGATCGCATTTTCCATTAAGTTACTAAAATTATGTGTTAAATATGTCTTTGATATCATTGATATCTTTGATATCTTTGATTTTAGGATAGAGATTAGTATAATGATACACACGCACACACGCACACAGGCACACAGGCACACACGCACACAGACGCACACAGGCACACACACACACACGCCGTAGGCACACAGACGCACACAGGCACACACGCACACAGGCACACACGCACACACGCACACAGACACACAGGCACACACACACGCACACAGGCACACACCCACACATGCACACACGCACACAGGCACACACGCGCACAGGCACACGCACAGACGCACACAGGCACACACGCACACAGGCACACAGGCACACATGCACACACGCACACAGACACACACAGGCACACACACACACAATGAATGATATGCATATGTTTGATCGTACCCACATGGTGTGTTGTACTAAACTATTCTAAATATATTTGTGAGGGGGCATGGGTGGCCCAGTTGTCTAAGGCGCCATGATTCGCTGTGCAGAGTTGTGTCCCTTGGGGTTCGCCCGATTATGTTTCTAGGTTTGTCAGCACCATACCATGCTTGTGAGTTTTACCAAAGTGGTCTGAGACCTGCATCACTTCGGGCTTTGCTCCCACATTAAGCTGACACGCCGTGATATAACTAGAATACTGTTAAAAGCGGCGTTAAACCCAACTCACTCACTAAATATATTTGTATTGGTAATTTGACTTTAGATCAATCCCGTTTTTGAAAGTAAATATATAATCAATATAAAATGTAATGCGAGTGAGTAGAGTAAGGAAGCTGTGTGTGTTGTCTTGCCAGGAGTCTCCAGCAGCTACACCCACCTGGCTACGGCGCTCATCTGGACCGGCGCCAACAAGGACGATGCTACTGTGAAAATAAACAAGTATGTTTGTCATTGTGAATATTGGAGAGTGGGTGTGTGAGTGAGTGAGTGAGTGAGTGATTGATTGATGGTAAGTGAGGGTGAGTGAGTGAGTTAGTGAGGGTGAGTGAGTGAGTGAGTTAGTGAGGGTGAGTGATGGTAAGTGAGTGAGTGTGAGTGAGTAAGTGAGGGTGAGTGAGTGAGTGAGTGATGGTAAATGAGCGTGAGTGAGTGAGTGAGTGAGTGGGTGAGTGTGAGTGAGTGAGTGTGGGTGGGTGGGTGAGTGAGTGAGTGAGTGAGTGAGTGAGTGAGTGAGTGAGTGAGTGAGGGAGGGTGGGGGGGTGAGTGAGTGAGTGAGTGAGGGTGGGTGAGTGAGTGAGTGAGTGAGTGAGTGAGGGTGAGTGAGTTAGTGAGGGTGAGTGAGTGATGGTAAATGAGTGTGAGTGAGTGAGTGAGTGAGTGAGTGAGTGAGTGGGTGGGTGAGTGAGTTAGTGAGGGTGAGTGATTGAGAGATGGTAAATGAGTGTGAGTGAGTGTGAGTGAGTGAGTGAGGGAGGGTGGGGGGGTGAGTGAGTGAGTGAGGGTGGGTGAGTGAGTGAGTGAGTGAGTGAGTGAGTGAGTGTGAGTGAGTGATGGTAAATGAGTGTGAGTGAGTGAGTGAGTGAGTGTGAGTGAGTGAGTGAGTGAGTGAGTGGGTGGGAGGGTGAGTGAGTTAGTGAGGGTGAGTGAGTGAGAGATGGTAAATGAGTGTGAGTGAGTGTGAGTGAGTGAGTGAGTGGGTGGGTGAGTGAGTGAGGGTGAGTGAGTTAGTGAGGGTGAGTGAGTGAGAGATGGTGAGGAAGTGGGTTTGTGGTATGTAAGAGATATTTCAAGATATTAGTGCCAAGTCACCGATGTTTTGCTTTGTTGGGATAGCCCCGGGGTAAACTCATGTTCATAGTACGAGGGGTGTTCATTAAAGATTTCCCCTAAACCACTTAGGGTTATCATATTTGGTTGAAATTTCACATGTGTAATGATGCATGTATCTATGGGTTATGTCTGAATTTGCAGCACCAAACTATTAATCTTACCACTTTTACAGGTGTTATGATCGAGTAGGGTGTGACAATGGAGCCAGTAGAATACCGAGCAGTGATAAGGTTTTTATATTTGAAAGGTCGCACAACAAAAGAAACTTTCGATGAAATGAAAGCAACTTATGGGGAAGATGCCCCATCATATGACGTTGTTAAACACTGGCATCGCCAGTTCAAGTGTGGTCAGACATCTGTGGAAACAGCTGCCATTCCTGGTCGCCCCCATTCAGCCATTGATGAGGACACTATCCACCAAGTGGAGACCGCCATTTTGGCAGACCGATGTATAACTGTTCGCCAGTTAGCACAAGATGTCAAGATCAGTGTAGGGTCTGTGGAAAAAATCATCCATGACAATTTGAACATGCATAAGGTGTCTGCACGATAGATTCCCAGGTTGCTCACACCTTTCCAAAAGCAGGAATGAGTCAATTGCTCAAATGATATTTTGGACATGTCCCAAAAAAACCAGGCAAACATTTTTGACAGACTTATCACACAGGATGAAACATGGGTCCATCCCTATGATCCTGAGACTAAAGTTCAGTCGATGCAATGGAAGCATGTGGAGTCACCCCCCCCAAAGAAGGCACGTGTCCAACCCTCTGCAGGCAAGGTCATGCTCACGGTGTTTTGGGACCAGCACGGAGTAGTGATGATGGATTTCTTGGCAAAGGGTACTACAATAACAGGAGCTTATTATGCTTCACTGCTGCGGAAATTGCGGGACGCTATCAAGCTTAAGAGGCGTGGCATGCTGACCAAGGGTGTCCGTCTCCTGCAAGACAATGCTCCAGTACACAACTCTCATGTTGCCCAGACAGAAGCGCGGTCCAGTGGCTATGAAATCCTTCCACATCCTCCTTACTCTCCTGACCTTGCACCATCTGACTTCCACCTCTTTCCAACCATGAAGTTATTTTTGAAGGGAAAACGTTTCACAGATGATGGAACACTGATTTCTGAAGTCAAGTCCAGGTTTGAGACGCAAATGAGGATTTTTACAAGCGAGGTCTCCATAGTTGCATAAAACGATGGGAGAAGTGTGTAACTCTTGGTGGTTCCTATGTGGAGAAAGACTAATACCTATGCCAAGTTTCATTCCACTAGGTCCATCGGAAGTGGGTCAGGGGAAATCTTTAATGAACACCCCTCGTACATAGCCTTCTGTCAACATTTTTGAAATCAAGCCGGTAATGTCCATGTACAGTCAAAACTACATCACCTGTTTAGGGAGTGGCCACTGATCGGGTTGGGCAGGGGTATTGTAGGACTGCATCATATTTTGTTGTTATATTTCACATTTTTTTCAAATTATGTGCAATTAATAATTTTTTGATTGAAAAAAAATAAGAAATTGTGTCTTCTTTTTAAATTTTTTTGCAGTGCCCTCATCCCTTTTAATAAATTACCACAGTCACTCATTCCCTTTTTTATATCAATTTATGAGATTTTGAGTAGAAATCAGTAAACTTGACAATCAAACTAGATTTAATACTTAAATAAAAAACTGTTTAAAGTTGTTTCATTGGAGAAGTTGTTGAACTTATTCTGTTGTTTTTTTCAGGGTGTTTATGAAGCTGAGTGATGCCTTGAATGATTCAAAGGTAAGAATTAAGTTTTGATGAGGTTATGATGGGCCATACCTGTAGTTTCAGTGTGTACATATTTGGTGTACTCTTACAAACTCTCAACTGGGTTTTTTCACATTCAGCTCAAGCAATGATTTATGGGTAGAAATCACCCACTACTAATATTCCATCAATAACAAGATTCTTGCTTGGTCACTTGCTTGATGACGGTGTTAGCATCTACTCCGAAATATTGCCACAAATGTAATAAAGAAGTGGATCACACATTCTTTTTTGCCATCAGCGTCAAGATTCTTGTCTTGGAGATCATTTTGAGAGCTGTTAGGGACTGGGTGCCGTTGTGCACAACAACCCTAGTTCTATGACTGTCGTAAGTCGATAATAAGGTATTGGAGTTATGATCACCTTGGCGCTAAAATCGCTTTGCACAACGGCACGCTGGTCATTTATTATAAAGAAGGAATGATGATGATGATGATGATGATGATGATGATGATGATGATGGCACAGTAATGTTTTTTCAAATGAAGCAGTTATTAATTAGAACATTATTTAGGGACAGGTAATTTATTATAGGGAGGGCGGTTCATGGAAAAATGTTACATGTATTTGGGGGTCATGAAAAATGTTACATTAAATTTGGGGGTCAGCAATATATCCAGTCCTGAGACTAATTTACCTGATTATAGAATATCTATCCAATAATGAAACTTATTCTTCATCTGTGAATTGCAGCATGGTCTTGAAGTTCTCTGCACCAATGATGAGAAGACAATGGGCCTCCAACTGGACTTGTATGCCAGATACAGTGATTCTATCAAGGTATGTGACTGTTTCTTCAACACATGGGCAGCAGGGGAGTGGGGGTGGGTCCCCCATCTTTTGAAGTGGAGTGGCATTGCCACCACCCCCCCACCCCCCTTTCATCTTTTGATAAATGATAAGATAATGTCCTTCATGTCCAAATATATCCAAGGAGAATAAAGCATATTTATTTTTGAAAATCTCCCATAATTTCATAAATCACCCGCTCGTTTGTTTTAAATGCAGTGCAGATAAATACTTCATGATGACAACAACAGTTTGTTAATTTTGTAACATACTGTTTATAAATTAGTTACTGTTTTAAGACCAGTTGGTAGTGAAAGATTTATTGCGAAAAAATTATAAAATATTATTGCCCCCCCCTGGATTTTTTATAGAAATCATTTTTCCTTGTGAAAGTTAACTTGAACTTGATACTTATACAAATATTTGCCCCCCCCTGTCAAAAAAGTTAACTACGGCCTTGATAACAATAAATAACGTCAGATCTCGGCAGGAGACAAATAGACAACCTCACAGAAATATATTACAAGTTCAGAATCATATCTTCAAATTAATGTGTTTTAGCCTGAGAATAGGTAATAGATAGAATACCCCACTTGGTACCCCTGACACCTGAAAATATTAATTTCACTTTTGACATATTTTACGTAATCACTTGTACTGTGTTGGTTATTTAATAAATGCACACATTCCTATGCAGTTGAAAAAACACTGAATCCCATCACAATGACCTTTCGCAAACTTTGACCGACCAATGAAAAGAAGTCGACATTAGCCACTAAGAAAGCAGCTTTCTAGAGCTTTGCGGCTCTAGTTTCAAACTGGCGACTTCCATTCCAGACTATGCTTTTAAAAGTATTTTGAATCAGTCATACAGCCCGTAACAAAAGTTTTGTGTTAAGCTTTAGAGGTTTCATGATTAGAAAACATTCAGCCAACAATGTAACAAAACAATATGAATATTTCATTTTTTATTACATGTTTGGATCGTTATCTATCATGTAGTTGTCCGATTTTCGGTCATGAACGTTGATACTACTTAAATTTGTTTATCCCACATACTCGTTAATCTGACATAATCATATGCAACCAACCATGCTGGAATAACGGGACTTGACTGTATCTAGAATACAAGACATAGGTTTCTCTTAAGAAGGTGATAATCTGAACGATTTTGATTACGATATCTGTTCACCGTGTCTGATTTTCTTGAAGAAAGTTAATGGTAAGATGTTGCATCTTGCCCCAGTGTCAACTTGAGTGTGACTTTTGACTTGTTCATCACTCTGGTTGCACGGGCCTCTGCTGCTAAGTTGTGTTTTTCAAGTAAGTTATAACATATATATATTGAGTTGGCACCAACAGTGAATTTGACACTCCCTGTTCAACACATCTGGATTAAAGTTCTGACAAATGAGTCAGAGTTCGGTGCACCGGACTGTGAGTTTGACAAAACCGGGGATTTGACACGTCCAGGTTCGAGACAACAGTGTCGAACTGTACATTTACACACCCGTAACCTTTTGGGTTGTTTTGTAAGACATTGTTATACAAGTTTCACGTGTCTGTCTTTCAGGAAATGTTGCTGAGACGGACCTGTCTGCTTGTGGAATATGAGGATGCTAACAAGGCCCTGGACAAGGCCAAGCCTCTGAAGAGACAAGCTGTAAGACATTAATGATTTTAACAAATGTTACATTTGAGATTACGCTTTCTTTGTAAAGTACAAATCCAGAGCTTTTTGGGGTTAAATCCCATTGAGGTTTCAAACCCACACTGTCAGAGTGAGGCACCTAATCGCCAGCACACAAAGTCAGCGATCTAACGCACCCAGCCACCAAGACTTCCTCAAAAATGAATGTCTGACAACTGGTAGTCTAGATTACTTACTTCGTGTACCCCTCTGTTAAGTGTAAACGTGTTTGGCTCCCAAGACCGAAAACTATGAGTGAGTGAGTGAGTATGGTTTTACGCCGCTTTTAGCAATATTCCAGCAATATCGCGGCGGGGGACACCAGAAATGGGCTTCACACATTGTACCCATGTCGGGAATCGAACCCGGGTCTTCGGCGTGACGAGCGAACGCTTTAACCACTAGGCTACCCGACCGCCCCCCGAAAACTATGAACACACAATGCCATTTACTAAGAAAGTGTAATCCCAACTACAATCAGGATGTACTCAGATCCTCACACACAGAGTATTGGCGTTAAAGATGTGAATTTTATAAGATCGGTGTGGAGTCTTGCATTTAATATTGTGACGTAATAAATGTAAACAAAAAGGGAAATCATAACTTTTAAATACAACAACATACATGTTTGGAATTCCTATAATCACGTGCAATAATAATGCCACTATGCTTCGTTGCGGAAGTGACATAACCATCTCTGTCTCCCGTAGCGCTCACCTAGCACAGAATTTCTGTCGCTGGTTAGCCTCGAGTCACCAGCCAATCAGAATCACTCTTATTAAAAAGGGTTTGGCATAGTTCTACATTCAAAATGTGCCCCGTTCAAGCGAGTCCTCGATTTGTTTCAAATAAAGAATTTTACAAAGGATAATGGACTTGAAGCTGAAAAAGATGTCCTTAAGTTTTTCAGATGGGGAGGGAAGCCCTGGGGACAGGCCATTTGATATTCTGGGGGGACGTGGGAATTTGTATCGACATCAGATATTTTTCAGCTACAGTTACAAAACCAGATATTTTTTTTATTTAAAACTATGAGCCTGAATTTTTTTTAAAGAAAACAATGTCATTTTTGTGGCAGGCAGTTTCTTTTCTGAAGTCTAAAACATAACTATTTTTTTCAAGAATGTCGGGTACAATTGTTTTTTGTCCCCCGCCGCGCTAAAGCGCAAAGCGGGGGATATAGTATTCACGACCGTCCGTACGTCCGTCCGTACGTCCCACCTGTTTGTTGCCGCGATATCTCAAGAACTAAACACTGGATTGTCTTCATATTTGGAACTATGGTGAATATACAAATTCCGCAGACACCAGTCGGTTTTGGTGACCTTGACCCCATTTTCAAGGTCACAGCAGGCAAATCTGCTTTTGGAGTTGGAAAACGGTGTTGCCGCGATATCTCAAGAACTAATCGCTGGATTGTCTTCATATTTGGAACTATGGTGTATATACAGACTCCGCAGACACCAGTCGGTTTTGGTGACCTTGACCCCATTTTCAAGGTCACAGCAGGCAAATCTGCTTTTGGAGTTGGAAAACGGTGTTGCCGCGATATCTCAAGAACTAATCGCTGGATTGTCTTCATATTTGGAACTATGGTGTATATACAGACTCCGCAGACACCAGTCGGTTTTGGTGACCTTGACCCCATTTTCAAGGTCACAGCAGGCAAATCTGCTTTTGGAGTTGGAAAACGGTGTTGCCGCGAAATCTCAAGAACTAAACACTGGATTGTCTTCATATTTGGAACTATGGTGTATATACAGACTCCGCAGACACCAGTCGGTTTTGGTGACCTTGATCCCATTTTCAAGGTCACAGCAGGCAAATCTGCTTTTGGAGTTGGAAAACTGTGTTGCAGCGATATCTCAAGAACTTAACACTGGATTGTCTTCATATTTGGAACTATGGTGTATATACAGACACCGCAGACACCAGTCGGTTTTGGTGACCTTGACCCCATTTTCAAGGTCACAGCAGGCAAATCTGCTTTTGGAGTTGGAAAACGGTGTTGCAGCGAGATCTCAAGAACTAAACACTGGATTGTTTTCATATTTGGAACTATGGTGTATATACAGACACCGCTTACACCAGTCGGTTTTGGTGACCTTGACCCCATTTTCAAGGTCACAGCAGGCAAATGGAAAACGGTGTTGCCGCAATATCTCAAGAACTAATTGCTGGATTGTCTTCATATTTGGTACTATGGTGTATATACAGGCGGGGGACATTTCGTCACTTTGTGACAAATACTTCTTTTCAATAAAAACAATAACCTCCCCCCCCCGAATATCAAATGGTCAGTCCTTATGCTACCAGGCCTTCCCTTGTGTATTTGAGTTGAACCAAGCAGCATCAGTCAAGAACTTGTAATAGGGTTACCTGTACTTCACCTACAGAGTGTCTCTGACCAATATAGTGTAATTTGATTGGATGGCTATTTTGGGTGTCGTGTAATTTGACCTGGACTCAAAACGAGCCTTTGGTGTCCAGGGTCTGTATGATAATGGAATGGAGATAAGACACATTCAGACTAATCAAGGATGCCTGACTTCACACTTGACAGATATTCTATGGGATATTTCTGGCTGTCAAATTGGCCAGATATACTGTGAAGATTATTTTAGGTTAATTTCAGTTACCATTTGTCTGATCAGGATGTCATGTTTTTTATCAGATTTTTCTTTTTCTTTTGTTTAAAGGTGATGTTTGTAATGATTATTGATTGCAGGCCGAGGAGACCAAACAGACTGCTGAGAAGTCCTACGAGGTTTGCTCCGACAATGCCAGAAGAGAGGTAATATGCTGTCCTACTTGTTCTTCAATGATATACTGTTACCAACGTAAGGGCACACTTTTTTTCACTTGCTTTACAGGGGCGGTCGGGTAGCCCAGTGGTTAAAGCGTTCGCTCGTCACACAGAAGACCCGGGTTCGATTCCCGACATGGGTACAATGTGTGAAGCCCATTTCTGGTGTCCCCCGCCGTGATATTGCTGGAATATTGCTAAAAGCGGCATAAAACCATACTCACTCACTTTCTCACATGCATTACGGATCTGCTGACTTTAAATTTGGTTGAAATGGATTTTTTTTTCTTCGGAATTTGCTCTCTTTTTTTTATCCTGCCGTTAAACTGATAGTATTGCACCCAAAAAATATTTCCTAAAGAACGACCCACTGAAGTTGACATATTCATGGGAATCAAAATAAAGTTTGTTGTTTTCCTTAAATTCATAGGATACATAGATCCACAACAGTCTTCGCTTGATTCATCGGGTGTGCATTACTTAAAGCAACAGCAGTGTTGCAGGCTCTCCTCCCACTTTAAAACGTTTCTATTTTGTTATTCCAGACAACCTGTAGTGGAGCAGGACACCAAAGATAAAAATGAATTGCTTTTTTTCGGGTTTTTTCCCCATCCTCATATACCATATTTGTAAAATACTTAGTCTAGAACTTTTTTGGGTTGAGTACCATCCGGGATTTGAACCCACACTGCTAGAGCGGTACACTAAGTATGTGATCTAGACTACCAGTTGTCAGACTTTAATTTTTGTGGAAGCCACGGTGGCTGAGTGGGTTAGGTCGCTGACTTTGTGTGCTGGCGATTTGTGCCTCCTATGGCGGTGTGGGTTCGAATCCCAGATGGGACTCAAACCTAAAAAGTACTAGAATCTGTAGTTTATTAAGAAAGTGTTATCCCAAATATAACAATTATTACAAGTACAGTCATAAGGTAGAGAATTTATGGATGACAACTTCTTTATTATGAGGAACACAATGTTTAGGAGTAAATGCTTACTCCTTCATTCACCTGATGAAGGAGTAAGCATTAACTCCGGAAAGATGTGTTCCTCATAATAAAGAAGTTGTCATCCATAAATTCTCTACCTTATGTGTATCACTTCTAAATGCCTTTCAAAGACTTTCAGTCATGTGTGGGCACGGGTGGGCCAGTCGTCTAAGGCGCTGCATTTGCTGTGCATAGTTGCGTCCGTTGGGCACGCCGGAAACCTATGATTGTGGGTTCGAATCCCGGTTCGCCCCGGGAATGTTTCTAGGTTTGTCAGCACCATACCTGTGCTCGTGTGTTTCACCGAAGTGGTAAACATCTGACACCTGCATCACGTCGGGCTTTCCTTCCACATTAAGCTGACACGCCGCGATATAACTGGAATACTGTTAAAAGCGGTGTTAAACTCACTCACTAACTCACTCACTCACTCACTCACTCACTCATTCTCAGTCAATGTTTTCTCTGTGGTTCCGACTGTGGCCAAGTTGTACAAATACTCTTTATCATGTTCCAGATGAAGACCTTTCTCCAACAGCGGATTCTCTCAACTCAGGAATCACTGGTAGCATTTGCAGAGTCACAAATCCGAACTGCGAGGGACACGTATACTTTACTCGTCCGAACTCTCTCCTCCATCAAACAAATGGAGCAACTGTGAGATCTAAATCAGCCTTGTTGAACCCAGTCATGTGATCTTCCTGTCATGTGATCACTTCTGCTCACTTGTCTATAAGGCCAGATAGTTAGGACGTCTTGATCAATAGATTATGGTTCTTTCCTGCTGATTTATGGTAAATTAGAAATAATGTCATGTACTGTAAATATTTCATGTATCAATATTGATTTTTTTCCCAGTAGCATAATTGCAAAACAAATAATTCTTAAAAGATGAGCAATAATTCTTTTTCAATTCAAACAAACCTGAAAAGACTTTGGCAAGGCCTATTATTGAACAAATTTACATTTATAGATTCAGAATAAATCCAAACTGCCCTATGTGTTACTAGTGTGTTGAAAAAATGAAGTAAAATTAATTTCTAATTTTTTTTCAGACAATGAGAATATATCACTCAGTAGAAAGGGCCATTGTTTACGACAGAACTAACTCATGTTAAACACATCTCAATCATTCATCAATATGTTGCAGCAAGTATATAAAATATCAAATCAAAATATCTTAAAATCAAATCTTGTTCATGTTTGTTCTTATTTTTGTAAAATGAAGCTACAAAATAAGAAAATATACTGGCCAATTTGTTAAGTCGACAGGGATGTACATTGCTTTCTCAAGCCAAATGTTGTTATACTAATGTCAGCCTTATCTGTAGTTACCTCCCTTGCACATGCATATCAGCATGCAGATATCAGTCTGTTTATGTCGAAAATGTTCCATTTCACAAAGTATTTTTCATTGTCTTCATCTCTGATGTGGATGGATTTAGTAGTTCATTGAAGGTGTTGTTCGTTATGCTTTATGATGACTGAATGATCTATAACAGGCCATGTATTGGTACAAAAAACAATACTATAAGGGTAACACTATTTGTCAGGGCATTATCATTTGCAGAAGCCTGAGGTCTTCCATTAACTGCCTAACAAAGGAATGCAGTTGAAGAGATCAAGGGCTTCTGCAATGATTATACCCTGAAAAATAGTGTTACCGTTATTATAGCTGAAATGGATAGAATTTGTTATCAAATGAAAATAAACAACAATATCGGTTTTGAAACATTTACTGCAATCAACACGTTTTTCACTCACCCACTTTTACTAATGTGGAAACGTCACTGAACAAACCAGATGACGTCACTAGTGAACGTGACGTCACCTTTCCCTCTCTCTATGACGTCACCTAACAATAGGCGTGATAATGGCCTGTCGTCAAGCAATATGAGGGCATTATCAAGTTACAGTGGCCCGCTCATTTCTGATAACATGCGGGCAGTTTAATGATAATTCTATCCATTTTAGCTAAAAAAGTAGAGAGGTGGATCCAGAATTTTGAAAAAAGGTATCGCAAAGTGAACAAAAGTGCATGAGAGGCTGTGTCAGTGTCGGACAAAAGGTGTGTGTGCAGACCCTGCACTATTAGATGTGCAGTGAGTCTGTACAAAGATAACATGACATTAGCTGTGGAAATGAATTGTAAAATACTACTTTACTACTTCTCTAGTGGTTTCCTAGTTTCCTTGACTCCAAATTTCTTAAAATGCTTTGGTTGGGTATCCAGTTATTCCCACCGATGACGGCTCGTCGTCAATACTTGATTGGTTTGTATGCACTACCGTCCTCAGTACGTCACCTGTTAATACATTCTGTCACTTTGCGGTGTTGAGGCTACTAACCATTCAGTCAATCACGGCCTGGTTCCAGCACAAGGTCAACTGTTAGGCTGAAAAAAATAATAGTCTTTTTTATTTCCATTTCCATATTCTGCATCTTCAACACACAATTCCAGCAGTGAAATACTTAAGAACAATATGATTTTGCTGAAATTATTGTAAACAAAATTTAGTTAGATACTCGCTTGAACACCATCACCACACGCCCCCCCCCCCCAAGTTCTTAAATAGGAATTAAAACGAAACGTGCGCAATCTTTATGAAGATGCAAGCCTGAGGATGAAGACTATTATTTTTTTAGCCTTATATATCATTGTGTATGATATCACCATAGAGATGCATATCGTATATACGACACACTCTGTTGTCAAAGCCCTAATCGCTAATGTAGCACAACTTGTTGGAATGACACTGAGCTCAAGTACTTGTTGAATCTATTCTCAACATATCACTTTACCGAGGAAAAAATCATTCTATTTCACAAGAGTGTATTTTCATTCCCTTTTGTATTCTCACTTTACTAGAAAATAGGATACCTATATTATCCTTTAGATGCTGGCATTATGAAGAAATAACTGATTTGTAATACCACAAAAATATACTTTCTCTCACCTGCGTTACATTTTTCCAAACTGTTCTATAGGCCATCAGTGCAATAAGCTCATATTCAACACATGTATATATCTCCATGCATACGTGAGCTATCGAATATCATATATCATCAGCTACCATATTCGCTGTAATAAATGTCATTATGCTTAGAAAATTGAGAAAGGGTGCTCTTATAAAAAATATTTGCGATGAGTTTATTGATATGCTGTTTTCGGGGTTAACCCTTACAGTGGTAATGTGTTCATTTGGGAACAAGTCAGAACCCGATGTCTGTGGGTTCTCTTTTCCCATCTACACAGCTGTATTTTGTGTAGACATATGTTGACTATGTGCAAGAATATAGGGATTGTCATTAGGGTTGGGACGAGTCCAAATTTATGACCCGGGTACCCACCCCACTATTACCCGACCCTACCCAGGTACCCACTGTAGGTCTCAGGAGATGTCTCAAAATGTCTGACTGGGAACATTTTTAGCATAGCCCTGGGAAAACGTGTTTAGATACATGTATTAAACAATCTTCTTGCTTCATGAACATGCCTATCCAAATATTTGGGAAACAAAATGCTGTTTAGACTTGTATCAAGTTTTGTTGTAAGGTTTTTGTTAACTCACAAGAAACCAATGCTGATCACTTCTATATTTAAAAATGAAAATGACCAAGAAAATGTAAACAAGAAGCGATTTGTCTGTTCGAGTTAGCTGGTGTATACTTGTTGTAGAAAAGGTTAATGTGTTAATGATGCTGGATTTCAGTACTTTAGTAGAAAAGGTCCTACCCGTGAAGAACAGGGTTAGAATAGGTATTCAGCAACCCATGCTTGTCGTAAGAGACGACTAACAGGATCGGGTGGTCAGGCTCGCTGACTTGGTTGATGCATGTCATCATATCCTAGTTGCATAGGTCGATGCTCATGATGTCAATCACTGGATTGTCTGATCCAGACTCGATTATTTACAGACCGCTGTCATAAAGCTGGAATATTGCTGAGTGCAGCTTTAAGCTGGAAACAAAGTGTCTGAAAATGTAAACATGAAAGTGGTGGAAGTCTGATTAGACATTGTTTTTTAATATCTTTGCTTATTACTAGTTCCTTTTACATGTTGTGTTCTCATGTCTTGTTGTTTATTTAATAGTTAATTAGTATCAAGTATGATAGAGTTAAGTGACAATCACACATTTTACACTTTTTTATGGTCAACTTTTAATGGTCAACAATTATCACAAAGCTTTATAATCAGCTGTTGTTCAGTGTTCATCATTTTACAAAATTCATATTGTTAATACCATGTACAGAAATTTTAATGAACATTGGTAATTTATTACAAAGTGTACGACACCCAGCTCAATCGTGTGAACCTAGTGTTTGTTATTTTCTGCCCACTCAGCAATATTCCAGCTATGTGATGGCAGCCTGTAAATAATTGATTTTTGGATGAGAGAGCCCAGTGATTGATACATGTGCCCCATGTCGCCGGGTACAATGACACACAATCAACCAAGTCACCGAATCTGACCACTCATTCCGTTAAGTAGGTGACTATGCTTGTCGTAAGAGGTGACTAACAGGATCGGGTGGTCAGGCTCGCTGACTTGGTTGATGCATGTCATCGTGTCCCATATATGTGGATCGATACTCATGATATCAATCACTGGATTGTCTGGCCCAGACTCGATTATTTACAGACCGCCGTCATATATCTTCAGCAACCCATGCTTGCCGTAAAAGGCGACTATGCTTGTCAAAAGCAGCGACTAACAGGATCGGATGGTCAGGCTCGCTGACTTGGTTGATGCATGTCATCGTATCCAAATTGAGTGGATCAATGCTCATGATGTCAATCACTGGATTGTCTGGTACAGACCTGATTATTTACAAGCTGCCATCATATAGCTGCCATATAGCTGAGTGTTGCGTTAAATAACAAACAAACAATTTGTAGGATGTATGTGGTAATTAAAAAAAACCAAGCTGAATTTCCCTATTCTGTAGATTAGCATTTTTCAGATCATTCTTGAGATCATCAAAGTTAAAAAACGTTTTGAAACACAGGCTGGAATAGGTCCCAGCAATGTTTTGACAAAAACATTTGGAGTCCTGGGTGGGAACTGTTCCCGGCACTGTACTGATTGTTGTACCGGGTAGTCGAGAAACTAAATTGTGTTGGGTTATCAGACTCAGTAACTTGGTTGAGTGTGTCTCATCATGCCTGACGAATTGGTTGAGTGTTTCTCATCATGCCTGACGAATTGGTTGAGTGTTTCTCAACGTGCCTGACGAATTGGTTGAGTGTTTCTCAACGTGCCTGACGAATTGGTTGAGTGTTCCTCAATGTGTCTGACTAATTGGTTGAGGGTTTCTCAACGTGCCTGACGAATTGGTTGAGTGTTCCTCAATGTGTCTGATGAATTGGTTGAGTGTTTCTCAACGTGCCTGACGAATTGGTTGAGTGTTCCTCAATGTGTCTGACTAATTGGTTGAGTGTTTCTCAATGTGCCTGACGAATTGGTTGAGTGTTCCTCAATGTGTCTGATGAATTGGTTGATAAAGTGGGATTCAACAAATGGTTTGTCTGACCCAGATATTACAGGCTGTCATGATGTAGCTGTGATACTGATTACTGTGGTGTAAAACTACAAACAGTGACCCTGTCAGCCGCCCTGCCTGACCCTTGCCACAGAATATGCTCAAGGACAACTCTTAGCAGTGCACTCGGTGTCGGAGAGGATAGGCTGGGATGTTTCAGCATCTGGTGTTTGTTTTTACCCTGCTTATCAATGTAGATTTCCATTTGCCAATGCACGAAACAGATTGTTTCCAAGTTGTTGGGAGTTGCCGAATATTCATTTAGATCATTTAGGATCATTGTTGAACTATCCATGGTGCACGTAGAGTGGAATAGATACAGTGAAACCTTAAGAGGTCAATCATTTGATATTCTTGGTGGGAATTGCTAAAATAATAATGGAACATCTCTGTGAACCCAATCTCATTAAAATCAGATCTTAGTTCTCGCTACCGCTAAACAAAGATCTGAGGACATCCCATTACGGGTCACGTCAGAACGACCTTTCGCGAAATTTGACCGACCAATGAAATGACTGACAAGAAATCGACTGGTAAGCGACGCTCTGATTTGTTGGATGAAAGGTCGTTCTGACGTGACCCTTAATGGGATGTCCTCAGATCTTTTTTTAGCGATAGCTGGGAAATAAGATCTGATTTGAATGAGATTTCTGTGAACCTTCATTACAACAGTGTCTATACCAGTACCTCTTCATATTGGCACCCTGTGAAGATCTGGGCTAGAATTGGTCTACACAGCAACGTATGCTTCTTGTAAGAGGTAACCGGATCGGGTGGTCAGGTGACTTGGTTGGTTCATGTCATCATATCCCAGTTGTGTAAATCGATGCTCATGATGTCAATCATCGCATTGTCTGGTCCAAACTTGATCATTTACAGACCATCATTGCATTGGTGGAATATTGCAGAATGTGGTATTATACAACAAACAAAACAAAATGGTATTGGCACCCCCTTGTCTAGAAATATATGTGATGTGATATATTGTTGTGGACTCTTGGAGCTCCAGTCAAAAAGGTTTCACTGTGGTCTAATTGTTTAGTGTAGAATTGTTAGCATGCAGTGCCTCCAGCCAACCGTAGCCAAAATAGTATAATACATTTTTAGTATTATGAGCAATCAGTTTTAACATGTTTTTAAATTTATTAAACCAAACATTTTTACAGCATTCACTGTGACTAAAGAATCACAATATTGGAATGTCCTTATTGTTAAATATCATTGAATGTGCTTTCTCATTAGGTGGTTTGTGAGTTATATCTGATGTATGAACACTAAGTTTCAATGTTCGTTTCTCAAAAGCTCTAAAGCTGTGTCAAACCCAACTACCTTACTCACGTGAAAGCTCTTATACCTTAATCGACGTAATAAGCGCCCCGCTCTAATAAGCTCCCACGGCAATATTTGCTGATATAATGGCTAGTGAACAATCCCAATTAGCACCCCTTCCGATTGATCAATGTACACAAGACTTATTTATTCGCGTATAATACACACTCGTGTGTTATATGCACCCTTAATTTTGGGCAATTAAATTCTGGAAAAATATATCTTTCGTACATAAACATTTCAGGCTGTCACTATAAACCATGAAATTTATCTTTCAACTCTGTTTTTTTCCACCAACATAATATTCTAATAAAAAAAAACTATTTCTAATTTTGAGAGCGCCCTGGGCGCTTATAACGTCCAATATGGTAGTATTTGAAATTAGTCTCTGATGCTATGGGAGCAAACCCCTGTATACGTATGGAGGATGGGTGGCCCACACTCTAAAGGGCCACAATTCAATGGGCAGAGTTGCATCCCCCAGGAGATCTTGGGTTCAAATCCGTGATTTACCCTGGTAACATTTCTAGGTTTGTCTGCACCAGACCCATGTTAGTGGGTTTCACCAGAGTGGTGAACATAGTCACTTCAGGCTTTCTTCTTGCATCAAGCTGACACACCAATATGTCACTGAAATACTGTTGAGAGCGGCATTAAGCCCTACTACTCACTTAATTAATGTATACATTTATTAAACTGAAATGTGCTGTAAGTTGGGCTCAGAAGTGAATATGTGCACTTACGGAATGTGCATCTGGCTTAGTTGTGAAAAGCCGTAAAAGGTGACTATGCTTGTCGTTAGAGGCGACTAACGGGATCGGGTGGTCAGGCTCGCTGAATTGGTTGATGCATGTCATCAATCCCAATTGCGTTAATTGATGCTCATGATATCAATCACTGGATTGTCTGGCCCAGACTCGATTATTTACAGACTGCCGTCATATAGCTGGAATATTGCTGAGTGCGGCGTTAAACAACAAACCAACCCACAATTTGTGGGATTTATGTGGTCATTAAAAAACAACAACAAATCTTTCAGAATAATCTGGTTTTATTTAAGATTTTGTTAATGTTGACAAACATCATCACACTGATTACATCATCATCGTCGTCATCATCGTCACCAGTGTTAAATGCTGTGCAAATGTTTTTTAAACACCTTTCAGTATTACATCAAGGATGGTAAGATCAAGTAAGACAGTATCATTAAACTTAAAAAACTCAAAACAAGTTCTACGATCTTGCAGTGATTGCAAAATTCTGATACATTTCTTTCCATTTTAATGGGGTGGTGGGGTAGCCTTGCGGGTAAAGTATTTGCTGGGGGCCCAGGATTGACTCCCTTATGGGTACGACATGTGAAGCCATTTCTGGTCTGACCAGAATATTGATGGAATATAGCTAAAAGTGGCGTAAAACCCAACTCACTAACCACACATTTTAATAATCTTATGAGTAAGAGATGACTGTTAATTTCCATATATTGGCGAATGCTTGATTATACATTGAGGAACTCATTGTGTTTTAATATACCTTGAACTACGTTTGTTTCTGAGTGATCACTTTCCGTATGTCTTGTATTTGTTCGATCTGATACAACCTTTAAAAGTATTTTGAATGTCACAAATATTACTTTCTGTTTGTAAATGTAGGAGCATATTTGATACTTTCTTTTATGGTTCGTAAAGGGAGGCATGTGTGGCCAAGCCTATTTTTAAGGTGGTGCAATTTGCTGTGCAGATTTGCATCTCTGAGGTGGGCCAGAAACCCATGATCATAGATTCTAATCCCAGGTGCGATTAGGTTTCTAGGTTTGTAAGCACCATACCCGTGCATGTGGGTTTCACCAAAGCGGTAAAGTGCTGAAGCTTGCATCAATTTGGGCTTTCATCACACCTCAAGCTGACACTGTTATATGCATAACTATTTAAAGCCGCATTAAACCAAACCAAACTCAAATCAAATATATGCTGTATATGTTCTGACAGAAAACA